TGCAAAGTCAGGGGTCAAGCCTGTGCTGCCATAGAACAGCTTGGGTAGGAAGGGATATTAAAGCCCACTCAGTTCCAACCCCTGCTAGGGGCAGGGCTGCCACTCACCAGCTCAGGCTGCCAAGGGCCCCATCCAACCTGGCCTTGAGTGCCCTCAGGGGCAGGACATCCACAGCTTCTCTGGCCACTGTTCCACCACAGACAGAAAAGGAAAGCTGGAAGCTTTCTAAGGCTGATGGATTTTTTCTCCCCTTGTCAACACACAAGAAACTCAAATCTGTTTTAGACCAAAAAGAAAATGGATAAATGTTTGTTAATTAATGTTTAAAAATGTAAAAAAAGTAAAAAATGTTTGTAAATTCCTGTAGGGACAGGAATTTAACAGGCCTTCTGTCAAGATATATTTGGGTCAATGTACTGACATATAAGAAAAAATACACAGTAACTTTGTTGACTAAACTTCTAGACAAACACACAGGCTTTGTTTCACTAATGACTGGAATAAAACTTTCCTCCTTGAGGCTCTGATTCAGAGAACAGCTTTGTGCAAACACATTGAACTTGTATTGAAAACCTGTGCTCTGTCGTGATTGATTGTATCACAGCATTACAGACCCTTACGCTGCATTTCAGCAGCTCTGCCTTGCCTGTGGGCCAACATGATTGCATGTCAGTCCCACACTTCTGCACTGCAGTGGGGTTTCCAAAAGAAAACAACTCGGTAAAAGTTTCACACTGGCAGCACTGGTCACAACTTCAGTGCTGTGAGCTTGCATTGCTGTTCTTTCCTCAAATTCAGATAGTTTTTTACTGTTTTTCTCTCTGGTAGGAGATTATTCCACTATCTTCTGGTCACTGCTGATATGTCTTCTTTAAGCTTCCTATTTAAACAGCAGCACCTGTGTGTTCCTACAAGTCCAATACATTCAGCACACCACCACTTCATATTTGGAGCCACAGATCTGGATTCCTGCAGAGACAAGAAAGCCCATGACCTTTACTTATGAACATGACAAATTCTGTCAAAGCTTTAGCTGGAGCTCTTTCTGCAGCTCATATGGGACCCTGTAGTGGCAACAGATTTGCTTACTTTAACCGAAAGAAACTGTGGAGAAATGCTTGCCCGTGAGCTTTTTGTGCACGTGATTTCCATTCACTCACACGTGCACTGATGCTGGACAGACAGGGCTACGGAAGGACAATCAGATGTGACAGATAGTTCTGCTCTTGTGTCCTCTCTGTTTATACAGAGAGAGAAAAGGGAATGAAAGAAACAAGTCACATATCTACAGTACATAAAAGGCCCTTGTCTTCATCTCATCTCAAGATGTCCCCAGAAATTTGAAAACCTTGAGGTATTCCTACAGAACAAATTCAAGTCCAGGCAGAAGGTCATCCTTACCTCTAGTTGTTACATACATATCCTCTGATGGTGCCAGGCTGGTTTCTTAACCACAGCCTTCAGCTATTTACATTAGCCAAGGACCCACAGCTATATTGCCGATGCAGCTTTTATTCTCGTAATCAAAACAGGCTCCATGTGTGTGACCATTCTTCATACAAAGATACATACAGGCAGTTTCTAACAACCAGAAACATACTCTTTTTGACTGTTCACACAGTATCTAGAACAGATGCAGTCCTGAAGAGCACTTTAGGCCCTCTGTTGTAGTAAAAAAAAACAAATCCATGCAAGGAAGAAGTGAGATTTTAAAACATGCTTATTTAAAATAAGTTTATTACAATGAAATAATAAAAAAGTCTGGCAGAAGTCTTAACAATACTCAAAAAAAAAAAACAAAAAACAAAAAGACAGATGCTGTATCATGTGAGAGATGACGCACATTGGAAACTCCAAAATTTCAAGATTGAACTGCTTATGACAGCACAATCTGTGCAATGCTTACGCTGGTGGAGGTGATTTCTGGGGCATGAACAAGCCCTTAGAATTAAACTGTGAGGCAATATACCTTCTCTTCATCTTATATCTCAATAAGGCTCACTGTAAGCTCAGCTTATCGTTAATAAAATGAATGCCCAAAACTGGATTGAAAAATGCAAGAAAATAGAAATGGAAACCACAAAAGCAAGCTGCTTTGGTTTTCAGTTCAGTCACCATATTCCAGAATGTAATTTGTTTGTTTTGTTTCAAGTAGACAAAAATCACCAACTTTCAAGGTGGCTTTAAATGAAGGAATCAAATAATATATTTGGGATCCCTAAAAGCTGCAGTGCACAATAAAGTAAACAAATGTGAAACTTCCTTGTTTCCATATCCTGATTCCTTCTCAATACAAAGTTAAAAAAAAAGTCTTTAGACATCCAGAGTATGGGGGTGCACACACACAGAATACTATACCAAGAAAGGGATATTAACAAATGCCAGTGAAAGGCCACATTTTGAAGAAATGCGTGCCAATGTAAGAAGTCCGTCAGTGAAACATATGCCTGTGCTCAAACTTCAAAGCAAGTGCCTAAATCCTTGTGTGAACTGAGTAGGATGAGCTCCTGAATGGGTTTGCAGAGTGCGTGCTCCGGTCTCCCCACTGCACATGGGTGATTTCATACCAGAGCATGCAGGACATCAAAGTGTGCAGGGTTTGCTCACCAAGGGGCTACTGAAGGCAGCAAAAAGGTAGGAATTCAGTCATGAGTTCCCCCCTCCTCTCTGTTTTGTTATCGGTACTATGCACACAAAGAGAGGAGAAATAAGCCCATTAAAAATACAAAACCCCATGCTTTCACTCCTAAGAGGTAGAGCTGCCAATTTTGAAATGTCCTGATTTAAATTCAATCAATGAAATCGGCATGGTTGTCCTAGCAGAGTATCTCAAACCAGGGCAAAGCTTCAAAGAAAAGCAGCACATTCTCCATCCAACTCTGTCCTTGCCACAAATCTCAGATCTGCTTTTCAGTTTCCCATTTAACGACTTATAAAACCTCCTACTTCACACTGCTATGGAGATGCTTTGGCTGGACGGCAACAGCTCTGACAACAAAGAAGGTGACAAATGGGAGGAAGGGAAGGAGTGGAAAACAAGTGGGGAAGAGGAAAGATAGAAAGGTGGGAGTGTGCTAATGATCTTTTTTGGTATCTAAAATTGAGGGGTCTTTAAAGCTTTTCACAAAAGCTGAATCAATGATAAAAAGAGATGGTGAGAGGCTCCAGTATAAGCACACAGGTAATACCATTCTCTATAGTCCACGTCTCTTTGCCAAAGCACATCACAAACAACTGGAGCACATTTTGGGCATACTTCTATGTGGGCAGCCGAGCAAGTGACAATGTTCAATCTGTGATACATTTTTAAAGCAAATGACTGCAACCTAAATCCTGATGATGCTTTACAAAAGGTCTTTCGGTGAAGGTATGCAGTCCTTAGCTTTAAGCTCATTTGTTGAAGGGAGACTCATATTACAACAGTACCAAGACAAAATGTTTCAATGAGACCTTAGTGCTAAAGCACTTGAGTATGCAATTCATACTCCACAACTGTAATGTCAGAGAACTTCAGTATGCAACTGAGTGTGGTGTCTTAAAATAGCAGAGGGGGCTCCAAAACACAGTTTGCTTTAAAAAGAAATACGTAATAAATAAAATAAATAAAAGCCTGCCAGTGCTATGCAGAACTCGACTGAAACCACTTAGGAGCTCTGCTCTAATGCCAACAGCACTGTATTACAAAGATGTGTGTAGGATCTCTACTAAAATATGCTGACAGCCATTATACAGCACGAGATAGCACTTTTTTTCAGATTGCTTTGGGATTTACCATGTCTCAGCAAGGATGTGCGCTGGACAGACTTTGCCTGTGTCATGAGCTGTACCAGAGTTCTATACCCAGCTCAAAAAGCAGTCTGATTCTCTTAGGGTAAGGCTGTGATTACTCTTATTTTGCCATGGCTAAGTAATATCCCTGAGAATATGCAACTGTTGGACACTGAAGAAAACAGCTGAAAACACTTCTAAAGGAAAAGGACACAAAAACTTCAGACTAGTGCAGTTTAAGAAATTAAAGCAGTTCATGTAGAGTATACAGAGCAAGGGTGCTGTTATCTGAGTCACAAAGACTGCTATCTGTATACAGGTCAGTTGTTTATAAATGTCAGCCACTGAACAAAGACAAGGAAACCCAACCCATCATCACTAATCAACGAGCTAAATAAATCAAGCAAAAACCACCTACCTCTTCTCCATTTCTAAATCTGAGGGCCAAAGTTAGTTGCTTGCCCTCTACAATTACTAAGAACCATCTTCTATGCTTGCCAGAAAAGAAATTGTCATCTAGCTGTGTATTTGTTTATGTGTAATGATCTGGTCTATTGCATCCTTAGAGGTATAACTTGGAGTTCAGCTGTGCAACATGCTGCAGCATTTCTCAGTGGTAGTTTGAAAAGATAGCATCCTTAAGTCTTAAAAGCGCTCAACATCCTGCAAGAACAGTGCAAGAAGCAGCACAGGTTTTGAAAGCAAGGTGACCTTGCTCAATTCCATCTCTACAAGTCCCCTATTAAACAACCCGGACACTGGCATCTCCTGAAGCCACCATCTTCACAGAATGTTCCCAAGCACCAATTCCACAGTTTAGAAAGACCAACTTTACACAGAAGAGCAAGGCAAGAAAGCCTGCTCTGAGGGTGGATGCCATGCTAATTACACAATATGCACTGCAGATCACTTCCTATTTGTTGGAAGAAAGAAGAACTGTAAAAGTTGGTAATTGCTGAAGCTAGTGGCCCAGTGAAGCTGTTCAGTTCCTTGCTTAAGAAATAAACCTTCTTTACTTCTAGTATCAAATACTTGGCTTGGCAAGCTACTAACAAGCCAGCGGTTCTCCCACTAGCTGAAAAAACAAAACAGAACAAATGAAACAAAAGCAAAAAATGCCCAAGCCTTTAAGTGCTAGATCTGTTTTGCTGCTACTGAAAAAGCTTACAGTTAAAAAAAGAGAAGTCAATTTTCATCATGATTTCACTATCAATTTTTAGAGAAGACTGATCTCCCCACACACTCCTGCTATTCTGCGGCAATGTGGTCTCCATTACCTAATCACAGCATTAAGACCTGTTACAGAAAAGTTTCCCACATAATAGCGGAAAAGATTGAGGAAACCACAGGGGATGGAGAGCTGGTTGTTCTGCTGTTTTTTTGTTTTTGTTTTTTGTTTTTTGTTTTTTTTTGCATTCACACTTTGAAGAAGCAGACAGTCATATCTCAAAGGCTCTCTGCTTCGTTCTTAGCACTGCAAGTACTGAAATAATTGAATTGAGCTTTGGTCAAAAGTTTTGACTTCATATTCAAACAAATATATACTAATTAAAACAAGAAAACTCCAAGAACTAAAGACCCTATATCCTTCTGATTCTATCCTGGTGCACATAGGGACTATAGATAGTCACAGTTCAGAGAAGATGACAGGAACAAGAAAGTCATACTACTTAAATGCCCAATTACAGTTCTAGTATCTTGCTTTACTCATCAAGTGTGTCATTTGGTGTTTTCTTCACTCACCATATACTTTTCTTAAAGCCTGCAGTGCTAGGCTCCTGAGAAAAGATCAAGTATTACGTATGCAGAGACTGCTTTCTCAGAATGATGCAGCAGGCCTGCAGTACATTCATTTTAGTCAGAATGTGCTTTTTAGCCTAGCAAAAGCCAGTATTTATCCTGTGAGTATGGTGATGACAAATTGTACGAGGATTTACCAAAGTTTAGGAACCTCATGAGCATTAGTCTTATTTGCCCATGAGTTATACTCAGCTCTTTGGACAAAGCTATCCAAAGCCATCCAAAGCCCTGTGTCACTACTGAGAAACCCACTTATACCTTGAACTGGCAGTAAGTAACTCATAGTGTTCTAATCTTCAACACAAGCAGGAATTTTGTCCTTACTCATTTATGTATAACAAACTATCTAGAAGGATTTCTTTATCACTTCTAACAGCAACTAGGTGCACTTTTTTATCTGTAAAGGAAGAAAAGAGCAAATTTTACCTTCTTACTTCCTAGCCACTTCTGCATAATTTTAGATTTTAAAGTCTGCAAATGGCATAATGTACAACAACTCGGTGATAAATTCTAGCTTCCCCTAGGCTTTGCTATTTCATGCCCACTTTCAATAATACAGGGCAGAGGGAACAACAGTGGTACCAGTGCAGACTGAATGGCACTCCATGCTCACAGCCTTCCCTTCTCTTGTCATGCACACACTTTTCCTTCCTGCACCACAATATATGTTGCAGCACGCTCATCCCAAGCAATACGGGCAGGAGCATCTTGCTGTGGAGGGCACTAAGGAAAATTTCCTTTAGATTTGGCTCACTGTCAGGAGCCAGAAGGGAAAATGTGGTACAAACAAGTAGCTGGGACAGAACACAATGGCTAGTTTCCAAGGCTGGTTCCCTGTGGAAGCTCAGATCACCAGCTACATGTGCTCATGGTGAAGATCTCTAACACTTTTAGAGATGCTGCACTAACAAAACAAACAAAAAAAAGCAACAAAAAAACCCCAAACATAACAAAACAAAACAAAACAAAAAAATTAAAAAAAAGATTCAACCCAAAATAAGGTAAAAACTCACTGCATACCTGTTAAGCTGGCATTTAACCACCCTCTCTTCTGCTACAATAAGGCTCACTAGAGTGGGCAGAACAGGGCAGGAGAGAGTCCGAGCCAGCAGTGCCTGCTTGGTTCCATGTGGATATCATGACAGCTCTGCTGCATGCGCAGCTCCCACACAAAGTGTGGAAGCAAAGGGCAAATTCTGCTCCATTACTTTTACAAGGTGAAGGGAACAGGGAGTGAGGCAAGTGAGGAACAGTCCAAAACATTCATTACAGACACAGTTATAGCCCAAAAAGAAACTGTACCTCTGCATTTAAACACAAAACAAGCACAACAAGAAATAAAAACCATACATACCCTTCCCCCCAAACACTCACACCTCTCCCACCTGAAAAGCTACAGTGAACAGAAATGATATTCAAAAAAATCTTTGTTAACAGACACAGTCCCTGAAGTTTTAAGATGCTGTCTTACTGTAGTCATACCACCTCATCTGACTCCAAACCATGTACTTCATAGAGAGTGTCCAAGATATTTAGCTGCTTTTCCATGGCTGGTAAGTAAATGTTGAGGTCCCTCTGCATTGCTTTGTAAAATGTTTCCTCCTGAGGATCACAGTCTTCTACAGACAGAGCTGCTACGAAGTCTTCGTACGTTGGAGCTGCCCTTAAAGCTAACTGGGAAAGGAAAAAAAGCTTTTAGATTTACCAAACAGAACAGGAAAATAAACCCAAGTGAAACTGTGACACCTAGATTGCCTAGATTTAATACACTGACACATATATGGATATGTTAAGTCTATTAATTGATAAAAGAGACTAAACTGTTTATTATCTCTGTGTAGATCCTCATTTTAAGACATCCTCAGAGGTGCCAGATTTATAGGAAGTGTCAGTTTATCGTATTTTGTACAAAGAACATCAGAAGTTACTTAAACAGAAAATCCAACTAAGTCTAGATTGTTAGGGAAGCTCCCAACCCGCTTCAGCACTGAAGTCCCATTCTCAAAATGCTTTTTAGAAAACTCTCCTCACTATTCCTGTTTCTCCCAATCCCAGTTGTGATCAGCTGGCTGAGGCATTCCTTTTTCTTTTTATAGTCTCACTAATAATTTCCAGAGAAAGACACAAGGGGGAGCTGGCAGACAGGACAAAAAATAAACTACTGGAGCCTATACATTCAACTCTGTCACACTGCATCAGCCCTTCTCAAATGCTCATACACAAAGAAAGATGAATCCTCAAACAAGCAATCTCAAAAGTTCGCTTATTTTAACAGGCCTGCAAGACTGAAGTGCAAAACACACGATAAAAAACAATATACATGCAAAAATAATCCATTTCAGGTCCAGAAAACAAGTTCTATCCTGAAAGCTCAGCACTAAATACCTTGATAGCTACAGTGTGCACTCTGAGAATAAGATTCTAAGAAAGGAATCTACTTATTTTAATGTTTCAATTTTTAATACCACATTAATTAAAAATAATAGAAGCTCTCAATAACAAGACCCTCAAGTTTAACAGTAGCTAAGAGAAGCACTTACCGCAAACACCCCACGGACAACCCAACCATGGTGCTGCCGTAATGTCTTTCCATAAGCATTGTCTTAAAGTAAAACAAACAGAACAAGATACATGTATGGCATTTAGTTTTGCATCACCAAAGGATATTGCAGCTTAGGAACAACTAGTCAAGGATATATTATCGCTACCTGATGCAAATGATTGCTTTAAGCATTAAAGTTATGACTCAAAGGAAAGAAAAAAGGAGAGACAGATCAGGATTCTGCACTGGGGTCTCAGCTCAGCTGTCAGTCTCCTATAATGGCAAGTTAGTGTTCTAGCAGACAGGAAGGCAAAGGCAATTACTTGATTAGCTGTGCTTCATGACTAACTTTTCCTCTATTATCTAGTCCTTAGTTCAGTGTAAGTCTGAGAAAATATTGCATGGGATAGAACTATACTGTGAGCAGATCATTAGCCAGCTTCAGCCTACATGGTTAACTCAGATATTGAACGAGAACTTTCTCTTCACATTTGAGAGCCAAGTTTAAGAACCCTCGAAACAGAAAGCAGAGTCTTATTTAAAAAAAAAAAAAACACAAAACAAAACACACAAACTCCGTGCCTCTCTTGTGAGTGCTCCCAAGTGTAGCCTTGGATGAAGGTCCTAATGTTCCTAGATGGCTCCACTTTCATATAGAAAATATTTTATATACAAAATGAACACCTTTGAGCCTCATTTTCCAAGTTTGTTACTGTCAATGTTCAATATCTTTGGCTTTTACTTTAATTTTAAGTATCTGGTGTTGTGTTACAGATTCCCTGAGCTGCATCAAGAAATTATCTCTTTTGCTGCATTTGGATCTTTGCTCAGAGAATTGCAGACAGTTATTCTTACAGAGCATATAAAATCAGTAAAAGCTAGCCACAGTATCTGCTCCAATATGAAATACTCCACAGCTACCAGTCTAATGACTGGCAAATATATCCTTTTTATCTTTACAGTAAGAGATGTATGTGGAAGGTATACAGCAGTAAGAGCAAAGAAATAAGGAGGAAGTAAGTACTGTGTAGCAAATAGTATTGACAAGTCTATTCTCAGCCTTAACAACAAATATAGAGGCAAACTTCTCAAGGAACTGAAGAAATAGAACAGCAACTGTGAATTTGGGAATGCTCTCACTGCATATCAGCGGAGAAAATGGGTTGAGACAAAGAACTTCTCTCCTAAGATATGTCTGCTCCCTTGCCAGAAGTATTCCTATTAAGCAAATATTTATGTGGCACTAAATCATTATTTAGCAATCTGCTTGATGATTGCCACTTTTAAAAAACAGACATTTTCAGAAAAAGTTGTGTCTTGGAGGTTATTCATATTATTAATCACCAAAGAAAAGAAAACACATTCAAAACAAGAAGGAAAATAGCTATGTAAATTCACAAGCACATGAAGAATAAAGCAACTGGTACTTACTCAGAGCTGTTTGGATATTCTTTTCTCCATTCTTCACTTCTGTCAAAAACCCTTTCAAGAACTTTAAGCCTCTTCCAGAATGAAACAACAAAACAAAGAGAAATCATATTTATAACAAAGTAAGTCCCACAGAGTTCAGTACAGTTCTGGAGGTTTTGTAATGTCAGTATACACTCAATTTCTCATTTCCACATATCAGAGGGATATTCTGGAGCCAACTCAACACCCATTGCTTACAAAACTCAGAATTACAGAATCATTTTCAATCTGAACAAAGAAATGGAGCCATGTCCTCCAACCTCACTTCCAGCTTAAGGAAAAAAAATACTGCTGAAACATTTGTGCTGAAGACTGAAATGATCTGCATGATGTACTGTCCCAGCAGGAACAGTCATTCCCTATAACTTGTTCTGTTGTTTGTTTTTTTTTTAATAGAAAAAAAGACTGTCTGTGATTACTTTCTCAGGTCTTTTGGTAAAGTTGCTGTGACACAACTACAGATCATACATTAATCTTGAGCTTAGTCAACTTAGATGGAGCCTGTGAAAGTAACTAGTTTGTCCCATATACATAAGCTTCTGCTGATTCTTTGTTGCACTTGATCGTTTAGAGTTGAAATAGTTATAAAACTGTTACCTTTTCAGCCATAGGAGTGCCTCTGTAGCAGAATTTCTAACTTGAGCTACACCTGCACTGACTTCATGCAGTACTATCTTCTGCAGGGTATCAAACTCTTCTTTGTTGGTTATAAATTTCTGATTTATTTTCTGGAGGAAAGAAAAACAAGAGGCAAAGCTTTGTTTTTGAGATTAAACAACAACTTGTCCCATGCATGCCACTTATTTATCATAATTTTTTCCCACAGAGAGATATTACAGATCCCCCTCCACAATCAGTTCCATCCTCTTATGCTCATTACGTGTCATTTAGATGCTGTACTGAGGGATGTGGTTTAGTGTGAAATACTGCTGATAGGTGGGCACTTGAGCTGGATGACCTTAGAGGTCTTTTCCAACGTTGGAGATTCTGTGATTATGTGGTTGGGCAACTGACAGGCTTATGTCATGCATTCCCCATGGCTGCACACAGCTCCATATACACCTGGCTAGTCACGAGGGGCCACAGATTTGCTGGATCAGCCTTGCACCACAGCACTGCCTGGTTCTACCTGCACCAGGACTTGGCTCCTACTGTGAACCCACCACAAAACGCAAACGAAAGCAAGTGGCTCAGTCAAAGATCTGCATTTTTTTTTTTAAACTGCATTCTTCCAGTGTTTGTTATCATACACTCAGGAGATATGCTTTGCTTTTTCTGTTTTCAGCCTTGAAAGAAAAGCTATGAAGAGTCTCACTCTGAATACATCTTATCTCACAAGTAGCAAACCTTTTCAGACTTAGAACTGGAAGAACTTTCAGGAGAATCTAAGTTGAAGGATTTGTTCCCAATTTGCAGCTGCTGAGAAACTGGTTCTTAGTGAGCTAATTTGCTCCTTCTTGGGTGAGGAAAGGTGTTTATTTCCTGTTTGACCAGCAGTCTAAAGTTAATATTGATATCACCACATTATAACTTATGATCTTTTCAGCCCAGAATCAAAGTCATATAAATTATGTAATAGACTTTTTACTTGGCAGTCAGTTAAGTATTTTTCAAGTTTGCTCATACACGACAGTTGGATTTACTAAATACATGACATCTGTAAGAACAGAATTAGAAATATTTCAGCATTCTGATCAGGCAGATAGCAAAATTATCAAATGTTATAAAGCCTTCCAGAATTGATCACTACGACAAAAATTCTTGGGGTCTGGCAGCTAACGCAGATATTTTGTTTAAAAGGCAGCGTTAAAAAATCAACAGTTACCTTGATGTTACCTACAAAATCCATTTTAACAGGAGCAAAAACAGTTGGTCCCAACTTATCTAGAGGAAAAAAAGGGATACATACTTTAAAATTATTACTCTTTTCAGTCCTCCTGTCCTAGTAACAATTTTATTTACTGTCTTAACAATATCTCTAAAAAGCAGGAGAAGCTAGAAGAACAACATAAACTGAAGTCTTTCTTTGGTGCAGAACAAATCTGTATTGGCTGGAACAAATGTTAAAATACGCAGACTTCCAAATGCTAAGTCCTCAAGATGCACACTTAAAAGGACTTTATACCCACTGTTAGATTTAGGGACAATGGAGGTGAAGGACTGCACCAGCTGGAAACAGAAGTTATTTGGGGCACGGGGGAGAATCAAAGAGTGACAATAGATAGTACAGCTGATGGTACAGCAGACAGCTGTACTGGATGCATAAGGAATTACGTGCTGTTCTTTTGAGGAGAAAAAAAATTACTGTTCCAGACATAGCCATGGATTTCCAGACAGCTTATACACAGGTCCTATCTAATGAGAGAGGATCCTCTATAAAGAGCAAGAATGAGAAACATCTCCTAGTACCAGTCACATTAATTCTGCTGGCAGGAACTACTTACATTACCTTGATTCAGGGAAGTAAACAATTTGCCAGAACAACTGATCCACCTTTTCTCCCAGCTGGTGGCAGATAAAAGGACTCAGAGGCACCACAGCATGAAAAAAAGCTGCTTACCCAGAACGGGCACAATTGCATAACATGACTCCAGAAACTCTTCTGTTGGTATGCCCTCTTCCTCCTGAAGTTCAATATCACTGAACCTGGTATCCAAGACAAGCAGAAAAAATTGTTACTTTAACAATGCCTTTTCTGTAACTACTAAAAACCAGAGCTGTTTCATGCTTACTTAATTTGAACAGAATTAAAATTTATACAGATTAATCCACCAGTATAGCTTTTGTTTTGATAATTTAATGACTGCAGAAAATACACATCTGGTGGCATGTGAAGCATGTAATTACAAACAAGGGAAAAACCCTCCCACTCCTCTCTGTACAACTGATTTTACAAAGGGCATCTTTATCCATTTCTGTGCTTTATGAATTCTTGCTACATATTATTTCAGCAAATTAAGCTTTGCAGACAGAACAGACTTGAAAATGAGTCAATTAAAGGCTTAAAAAGTTTTATCATCCTCATGATTTAAATCTGCAACATGTACTACCTATTGCTCATGACACTGAAGAAAGTAGGAAACCCATTTTCATTTTCATCTTCCTCACACAGAGTCAATCCACTTAAAGAATTTGTTTCTGACTGCAGCAACTTCTGGGCATCAAGGTTTTCTACAGCTTGCAGCTTGTTCTCTCCATCTTCCTTCATGCCTTAAAATTCAAAGGAAACAAAAGAATAAATAAATAGAAAAAGAAAAGCCACATACCCATACTATTACTACTATTCCTCAAGATGTGTCCTATTTGAAGGAAGGCATTAGGATAACTGGTCATGTAAGTTTTCTCTGCCAGCACCATGACACACTTCTACTGCTCTCAGCTACACTAAGACAACATTTAGACCAGTCTCCTTCCCACTATTTTTAATCAGCCAAACGAAGTACCAGGCTGCAATGTCACCAAACTCATGCATCCTCAACAAGGACAGCCTTAAGTAGAGAAGAGCTTTGAAAAAGCTGTTATATGCAGGTCAGTACAGATTGATCTGTTTGAAGGAAAATAGTTCTCACCCAGCTGTAGCTTCCCCAGTACTGGTAAGCAGCACTGCCCATTCTCAGAAGCTGACTTGTTTGCTTTTCTTGGTAAGTAAAGTGCCTGTTTAGGTGGGCAGTGCTATGATATTAAAGGTTGCTGCATTCTCATGATTTGAAATAATAACCTTCAAGTTTCCCAGAAAAAGATCCTGTTCTCTTTTCCCCCAGTGCAGTTTGTTTTATTTCTCCTCTAGGGACAAGTACATCTGCTTAATGTGGAGGACTACAAAATCACTTCCAAAGCCAAACTTATCTAAGTTTTATATACCCAAAGAAAGGTCACATCCATGCATGGCAAGACCACCTGACCTCATAGGAAACTGCAGGCCAAAGCACATCCTACTGCCACACTATTAAATAAACATCCAGAATTTCTCAGGGAACTTGTCTTTCCAGAAAAGGAATATTTGCCAATGCCACTGAAGATTTATAGACCCGAAGTGAAACTGAACTTCTGGCAGAAAAGATTCAGCTGCAACAAACTTTCTTCCTCTGAAGATAGCCTGAAAGCAATTTTGCAGCAATCCCAATCATTTGCAGAACCACTGAATAAGCCTGGAATGTGTGCTGGGTGAAAAGAACCATTCACATCTGGTAACAGCAGCAGCAATGAGACTTCACCCATGATCCCCAGGGCAAAAAAAAAAACCCCAAAAAACCCCCCAAAAACCAACAAACCAACACCACAAAAAAAAAAAAAAAAACAAAAAAAAAACCCAAACAAACAAACAAAAAAAAACAGAGAAAAATGGCCTCAGCCATCACTATATCCCTGCCTTGTTTCCAAGCAAATAAACTCTGGTAAGGAACAAGAGTTTGGAGGATGTCACTGATTTGTCCTGCAAAAAGACAGAGGACTCAGAGAGTAAAGAAACAGCCCGTGTCCACTGTGAGTGCCATGCATCAAGACCAGGGACTTCTGAAATATCTAATTCAAATAGTAAACCCTAAGTGACAAAAGAGCAAAAGCTCTGAGATGAAGACATGTTAAAGTACTTCAAACCTATAGAGAAACCAAATCCACTGAAAAGATTTTAATAGGTTTGATTTCAGGACAGCTGGGAAAAATACTGGGGGTAAACACCTCTTGTCAGGCCAGGAAGTATAAGAGGTGCTTTTAACATACTCTGTTGGAAGGAAAAAAGCTTTAGTTTTCCATAAATATTTGTCAGAACAATCATTAGCAACTACAAGGTCAACCACTCTGACACAGGCACCTAAAACTTCAATATTCTGACACTGCAACCCTATATACTCGCAGAGGTGCTGATTTTCTCAGCAGAGAGCCTCTGGGAATTAAATACTTGTTCACAGATCAAGAAGATCCCATGCTCTGCCAGAACATATTGGTGCTCATGTCTATCAGCATCTAGAGAAGCCTGCACCTGTCTAAAAAAAAAAAAGAGAACATCTTATTTGTTCCCCATTCAGTCCTAAGACCAACAAGGGAAAGAACTAAGCTGAGAAGACTTGACAACAGGCAGGTATCAGACTGAACTACACTGACATTCCCTTTCCCAGGAAGCAAAACATCAGCAGCACTCTCACAGGCAGCCTACAGAGCCCTCCACTTACACTACAAGAATGACAATGCTGGATAAAGATGGTACTCATACTTACCTGCTGAATCTTCTGCAATATGATCCTCAACAGAAACAACACTGCTGCCCTCGTTTGTTTCCAAGTTTAAACATGCTAGACTTTTTATAAAGGTTTGCTCTTGCTGGTTAATTTCTGCTTTTACAGAGCCGTTTTCACAGGGGTTCAATTCCATCTGTCTGAAGAGAGTGAAGGCATGATGGTTAGTATGAAACAGTACTTCTTCCTGAGAAAACACACAAATAACAATACGGGAAAAACAGTTGTCACAAATTACATGCTGTCACAGACTGCTCTGACAAAAATAACTTCTCTACAATAACAAAAGGAACAAGGCCATTTATCCACAGCAAGTATGATATATATGTCAGTTTTCAGAATATCAAATGTACTGACAATAATCTATTAAAAAGAGATGCAATCAAAGAAGTTCAACTGATTACAAAAAATGGAAATCACAGGAGGTATTGTAACCAAAAATCATCCCTGTGTTAGTGCTTTTAAATACTATGCACATAATATATATAGACACTTCTTGCCATTTCATAATATTTCTTGCCATAAATAATATAGCTTGCTCTCCATCAATGATTTAATGAGCTTATGCAGTGGAACCTAAGATGTAGGGAAGAGCATCGAGGTAAAAAGAGATGGCTGGTGACTGGCCAGGAAGTCACATGGTGGATGGCTGGGGAGGAGAAAAATAAAGGGGAAAAGGCTGAGAAAGAAAAGATATGAAGTGGGAAGAGCTAGCTCCTTTTCATTGCATCTGTTCCCAAGTATATGGCTCAGAGCAATATAATTCTACCTGTACTCACTACTGGTAATATCAGAGAAAAATATGGAAAGAACAGACTATCAGAAACAGATTAGAAAAAGATTTATAGTAAAGATCTATTATACCTTTCTGTTGAGGTGTGACTGGACAAGACTGAGTGTTTTATCTGTAAGATAAGAGGGGGTGGGTGGGGAGACGCTCTCTATAATAAGACTGTATTGTGTTTCAGAACTTTGCATTTTAACAAATCCAAACTGCAGCCAGCAGAAAAGCTAGGCACAGACCCAAAAATAATATACAGAGAAATATGAAAAATATGACAACATTATTATAGAAAAAAAAAAAAAAATTACTTCTTTCAGAAGCTAGCTACCTAGCAAGTACCAAGTGAGATGCCATATAGCACATGTACAAAACTAGGGCAAAGTGTTTTCCTTGCAGTGATATTTTTTTTACTTAAAAAAAAAAAACAAAAACAAAAACTGAAAAACCAGGATGAGAAACATGGAGCCAGGCACCAGATAGACTGGAGTGAATTCACTTCCCAGGTGCAGTGAAGAATCTACATTCCTACGTACACCTTAACCAGCTGTTTGCCAGAGATGCTTCAATTTTACACCTGTAGCTATGGATTCAAGATTAAAGAAAGCCATTAAGAAGATAAGCTCATCAGCCCCTGGTGGCACATTAAGACAGATGTGATACTGGTAACTCAGGAGTATTAATTGCTGTGAGCTCCTACAATGGACCATCCTGGGCACACAGTCAGGATATTTTAAACACCTGTAGCTGGATCAGGCCCTGAAAGTTAATGGTTAATAGCTTCTACCTATAATTAAGAGTTAAGAGATTGGCCACCAAAAAAAAAAAAAAAAAAAAAATTCATTATCTGCTTCCACAAATGCTACTTTAAGAAACAGCGCCTTCCACACCAAGACTGATAGAAAAGGGTACTGGTCCCTACCCTGTTTGTTCTGAGAACTGCTAAATGTGGGGATCCTGGAGGGGTCTGATGTAATAACTCAGAAGTAAAGGCAGTATTTGCAATCTGCATACATTCTTCAAGAGTCTTCAGGAAGGTGTCACATGTTGATTTCAACAGAGCTCCCACATCAATCCCACTCTGTAGGAATAAACCAATTGGAACACACAGACACACCACAGAAGATCAGCTTGGATCAACTAACATCTACAAATCCCATAACTGCTACAGACATGATTGTTGCTTGACAAAGCTGTTGTTTGACAAAGTGTCAGCTGCTGAGAGAACTGGCATCCCATATTACTGGCCCTATGCCCCTTTATAGCATTGCTGCTTTCGTCAGTTTTTCTCTACAACAAGCAGAGTAGATTTGTATTATAATATATATATATGTATGTATATTTAATATATATAATATATGCCTTTTAAATTACACATCTCTGATGTTAAAAATACATTAACTGTAAGCTTTGCTGTATTCAATAGCGGTACTCCAGTGGTATCACTGACAAGGGAAACGAAAGTAAACAAACGAGACAGAATAATCTGAAGATAACTTTTGAAGTAACTTCAAAAATCCCACAAGCAAAACAAAAAAATTACACAGAATGAAGTAACACATTGCTAACAACAATACAGTATTACTTCATTTAAACAAGAACTGTTGTGTGGGTATGCAACTTCCCACAGGTCCTCAGCAGAAAGGCAGTGCAACAGTAAGCGTGAACAAATACTGCACTGGCTAACCAGAAGAGTTCAGAAAGCTTAAGTCTTTATTGAAGAGGTCTACACCAAAAATAGAGCTGTACCTCTGGTTCTGATACAGCAGAAATGCTGGCTTCCTTAGTTTTATGCACTTGCTGAACAAGAAGGTTACAGTATAGTCTAAGTTCAGACATTTTAGTCTTCAAGGCTTCTGTGTTTTCAGTGAACTCTAAAAATGAAAAAAATAGTAATGTTGAATTCAGTGTATCCATCTTGCAGTATGTGATTTTGTAAAGCTGCTGAGACATTACTATCCAATCTAATTCAATGAATACTACTATGTTTCAAAGCATTTTCTATAAATTCAAAAAGATGAGCAGGGTTGGCCAAAGATTACACTTGTGACAGGTAAATACGTTTCACTATTTGCTGCCATAGGCTCAGAATGTTCCTAGGCTTACAGCACAGAAAAAAACAAAGAAACAAGTAGACAACATTTGACCTCAAAGGACCTTATGAATAAGACAAAATCCCTACATACTGTATTTTTGTTTGCTTGTTTTCACTAAGTAGCAAACAATTACACTGAGTTAAAGAACTGGGATTCTACCTTCTGAGCAGAAAACACTGGAGGGAAAAGACATTTACTTTCAAGTACAAAACTTAATGTATATCTTTGAGTCATAGAATGGTTGAGGCTAGAAGAGATCAGCAAGTCTGACTCCTCTGTTTAAAGCAGGGACAGCTAGAGCAGGTTGCTCAGGATCAAGTCCAGACAGATCTTGAATACTGCCAATGCTGGACTCTACAACCTCTCTGTGCCACCTGTTCCAGCGCTCCACCATCCTTAAATAAAGACATTTTGTCTTGTATTAATGGCATTTTGTGTACTCTTGTACTCATGGAAGCCATCAGCATAGTTTTCAAAATATTCATACACAGCATGTCTTAAGGAGAAGTATTCAAATCCCTGCAGTGAGAGCTAATGCCTGACATCGCTATCTAGAGCTCCCACATCTTGGTGTTTATCAGCACCAAAGGCCTGAAGCACAGGTTGGACACAGAGATCAAATACTGATTTTGTCATCTTTGTGTTTCATCTACTAGGGGTCGGGGAAATAAAATGCAAACATGTGTGACAGCAGAAGGGATTTCTTGCCTTTTTCCTTTTGTGTCCTGCTGTCTGTCAGACAAGCTTTCGCTGTTCCTAGTGCAACCAGCCACTTTTGCCTCTCAACTGCATTTCTTGCTTTCAGATAGAAGTACTGTTCCCCTGGGATGATCAGGTCCATTCGTGTGTTATCTGCAGGATGAACTAGAAGCAACATAGATTTCAGGCCAGCTCCTCCACCCTTCCCAGCCCAACTGAATATCTCAGCAGATATGCTAGCCTCAAAACTCCCCCACTGCCATTTTGTTACTTCTGAGCAAGGGAATAGACAGGACACGTATACAGCTGTGGGACAAAAGGCTATGAAAAACAGCTTCACAATCAGTACAGTAGCATTCAGGAGCTGTGCCTCCCATGGCAAGTAAACCCATTTGAGAGAGCAGTATCAAAGTTTATTACTCATAATTTTAGTTTTAGCACTTTGTGCATAGGAAGAGTCACTGGAAGCTCTGTGTTCCTCCACTATGGCTCATGAAAGAACAGCGACACACCTCCATGTAGAATACCCACTGTATGAGACTTGCAGCTCTTCTAATATTTTCAAAATACCACCTTGTACATAAATCAAGTTCTTTATTTACTAGAAATACATAGCATCAAGATAAGAGCACAAACAGCTCTCGTGACCCAAAATTTCACCTAAAATGCAATATATGCTTATTAGCCAAACCTTGTGCAATTGCGTCACTGCATCTGACTTACCTTGAATTTCACACACAGCCATTTGGATGCTTCCTTTGCAACCCTTCCAGGCATCTTCCTGAGAATCATAGTAGGACAAGATACCACCACAGAGAAGAAACCAACGAGGCTGCCAGCCTAAGAGACAAAATTGCATTTCTCCGTTACTGCATCCCCTGCAGTTCCACCACCTCTCTAATTCAAGACTTGCTGCAAATAAGGCCCCAAAGATTCTCGGTTCCCCCAGGAAAAATAAATCATTCCAACAGGTAAGATTGTGACAGGTCTGGATGTTGTACTCTACAACCACTGCTTGCCAGCAATTACACATCCTTCCTGCAGGCAGATGGACTTGAAGGCTGTCAGCTACACTCCGGAGGTATATTCCTGAGATGCCACATGTCATTTTCAGTAGTTATACTAGCAAGGTATAACGGACTCTTTCTCTCCTTATAGCACATTCTCAGAACACCATCTTCAGTTTCATCCACTGCTTCTCAATCCACCCCTTCATTCTCTCCAGAAGTCAGCACAGCTGTCTTGCCTTATGTACCTACCTTCCTTCAGAAAGGCCCATTCCAACTACCTTCAGAAACAAAAGGCAAGAAGATCTTATATCAAGGGAAAGAGGGGGAATACAGTGATTTCTGAAAGTTGTCTTTTAACAAAGCTTTTCTCAATAGCTCATGAAACTCCCATGCTGTCCCTATAAAAAGCAGCCTGTAATTAATAACTTGCACTTCTGGATCCATTCCAGGAAAACAATGAAAACACCAGGCTAGACCAAAACAAATCGTTTTGAGCATTGCTTTTGTCCACCCTGCTGCCCAACTTCAGAACTAAACTATCCCTTCCGTTTTCTTCTTTTGGAAGCACTTCTTAGCATGAAAGGATACAAATAAACAAGACCGAGTAGCCACCATTTATTTCTAATTAAAAACTAAAAGCTCGTTAACCTAAGAAGTAAGACAGCAACGTCACTGGAGCAAATCAGCTTTCATTCCTGAGCTGCAACATGCTTCTCTGGACAGGGCCAGAGCTGAGATACCCATATTCCACACTGGGTCAGCAATCTTACATGAAAAAAACATGGCCATGATGCATACAGCACCCCAAGAACCTGAGCACATCTCTTTGGAGGAGTGACTGCTCTTAACCAGCTGGCTTTAAGCCAGTGCTGTAGCCAAGCATTGCTCGGTTCACCCCTAGAAAGCCCTACAGCCCCAGACAAACAGTAGGAGATGGGTTTTGTTTTGTGTATAAGCAGTACCACAGCACGAAGGACAGCTTGGTCTATACATTACCAAACCTTTGGGGAAAGGGGAAAACAAATTAAACATAAAGCCTTCTTCATATTCTTCTAGAGCTCCTCCACTGTTTTCTAGAAGAATATAAAAGCGTTGTAAATGCCGAAGCATTCTCAAAGGTTCTTTATTTTCTTTATTTGCTTGAATGGCAAAAACTACAAAGATTGAAACTTCTAGAGGAAAAAAAAAGAAAAAAAGAGAACAACAAGTTTGGTTCTTATTAGTCTTGTCACCAAAATACAGTAAGTATCCTAAAATCATTATTTGTATGGAGGAGCTCACAAAAAAAAAGGAGATGATTGTTGAGCAGAGAGAAGCAGTTCATTGCTTCAGACACTTGATGGCACAGATCCAATCCCTTAAATAACACAGTGTCACAGTCAATACAGGCCTCTAATTCAGTCTGGAGATCCAGCTGGTGCACGCAAACTATTTCAGCTTTGCTCATGCAGCTGATGCTCTACTAAATTGCATCTCATCAATCAAAGGCTAAGCTATCAATTAGCCAACATGCAAAGCACTCTGCCCCTGTCATTTCAGATGCTGGTTAAAAATGTCATGAGTCAATACATTTTGTGGAGGCTTTTGTTTGTTTGGGGTTCATCTGCAGTATCAGCAATTATCTGTCTTGCTTTGCAGAACCTAAGTCTTCTTTATTAAGAAGGCATTAAAAGTACAGAGATAGACAACTGTTAACTTGAACAGCAGATATTTTCTGAACACAATCATCACTACTCTAATAAAAAATGCATTTTGGTGAAAGTAAACAATTTTAAAAAACCCCAATCACAGCAGGATTCTGCCAGAAGATGCAGTAACCACCTGGTTCTCAATGCCACAGGAAGGTTATCCTAAACAACCAGCTAAAAATAGTGCATGGCTGACAAATCCCGGACAGTGCAACAGGGTTACAATCTTCAATTACAGGCACTTCACATTCACAAACAAAGAGCAGAGAAAGAAAACAACGAAGAGAAAGCAGCAAAAAGATACTTTGATAAGCACAAATCCTGGCTTTATTTGGTTTTATTTTCTACCCATAAACTCCAGTAGGAAGACTGCAACTGCTGGAATGCAGGCTTCATCTGAGATAGAAAGCTAAAGCCAAACCTCTGGCGAGAGCACTAACACAACAGCAGCATTTACTGAGTCCATTCATATTGCTGGTGCACAGGCAGGACAAAATGTAGCACCTGCCTCCACAGCTTGTCTTAGAGGCACAGAGCCATTAACAATAAACACCCAACAGACACTGGTTACTGGTCCTAATAAATACAGCACTTCTTTGTGAAACTTGAAGTTAGTACCTGCAGAGCCTGGAAGACCAAATATTGTCCAGCACAGAAACAAACATTTAAGCAGTTTCCCCAGTCTGAGAGATCTGCCTACTTTCATCACTACCCTTCAGGAAGTCTGGATGTGGCTGTTGCTGAGTAAACTTGACATTTCTTGATAACACCGCTGAAATTTGGACATAATTCAAATTTTAATGTTACACAATTCAGACTCCAGAAAGCTCTGGTTGCAAAGTACCAAGCCTGGAGAAACAAAAAAACAAAAAAACTCCACATTTGAAGACATGTAGATCATGTCAGACATCCATAACGCCAAACCATCTGGGAGAATTACATACTCAAGAAGTCAAACTGATGACCTGGAAAACAAGCTGCAATTAAGAGATGCCAGTTCCAGTTGCATTTCTCAAAGGCACAAAGGCAAGACACATAGGCTTTTATTACTACTTGCTTCCCAGGAGAATTTTCTAAAACTTTATGCTTACTAATTTCTTGAGCTTCAACATAAGTCTTTAGAAAAACATATACAATAAATAAATAATTCTTGGATTTCTTGGACCTGAATTCAGATTTTAAGTGTGGATAGGAGATAACTACAAACCTTCCACATTACAGCAACATCCACCTAATAGGAGCCTACACCACACCCCCATCCCCACTGCTAATATCCCAGCAACATGACTCTGTGGCAGGCCTTTGCACTTCTTCTTTGCAAAGTCACAAGAGACATCTCACAGCAAGTGCAAGCAACATCCATCTCTTCATCCCACCATGGGTAGGGTAAGCAGTGTTCAACATACTTCCACCCATCATTTTATCTCCCAGCACCCAAGGTATCATGTCCATGACTGATAGCCTGATGAGAGCTGCTGGAAAAGTTCAAACAAGCCCAAGGCAGTGCTGTTAGCTTGCAAAACCTAAGTGAAATGCTAAGTTGCCAGTGCTAATGCAAGCCTATGAATGTAATATAAAATTTGGATCTTTGCTAAACCCAGCCTACCCCTCGTTGTTCAGATAGTAGCTATTACCCAGAATACACCATCTTCTTATCATGTAACAGTTACTTACAAAATGCCTGCCTTCCAATGATGAAGAAAACTAGGTTTTCCAGTAAAAGGATGCATCTTCAATGGTCACATTGAATGGTCACATTCAATGGTCACGGATTTGACAACAACACAGGACTGAGTCAAGAGATCTTATTTCCAGCTGCCTGACACCTTGCTGAGCTGCCCCAGGCTGTGCTGATAAACTTCCTCCTCCACTGAGCTCCCTGCACTTCCTCAGCTGCACAACACAAATAACACAAATACTCCATGTCAGCCCACAAGCAACCCTATTGATTTTAACATACTAATATCTGAAGGACATGGCATGGATTTTTCTGTCAAAGAAAGGCAATAAAAATCTCCATGCTGCAAAATGACAAAATGTTTTCAAAACCCCAACTTGTTTGCAATCTCAAATATTAGGAGCATACATGGTAAATCTTAAAGTTCTGATCTTAAGAATTAATTTCTTTTACCTCTTATGAGATTAAATTCAGTTCTCATGTCCAAATATTTAATGTTATCACTCAGGAACAGTATTCAGAGGAAGAGCATTTTGCATAGACAAAGCTTGAAAGTTTCCCTTTTCCCCTGCAGAAACAACGCAGGAATGGGCTATCCTGACAGAGAATCCTGTTGCATTTCCAAACCACCTTACAAAGCTATGAAAGGATTTTGTGAAGGTGCAACCTGAGGCATTGGAATGCATTTTGCAACCTTAACTCTGTAGTGAAACAATTTGCCAGGATAAAAATCCACTCATGAGGGACAGCAGAAATGCTGCAAATGAACCGGTCACGATTCATACAACAACCTTTGAGTTGTTATCCTCTCACCTAGAGAGCAGCTGCCAGGAATGCCTGCAGACTACTTTACTAGGGAGGATGTGCATGGTAACAAAAGGAAGCCATAACAATAGCCTCTAAAAGCCTTGAAATTAACAGACATAGCACTTGAACCATTGTATCACTTTTTGTCATGAATTCATCACTCTTTTGAGGGAGAAAAGTGGTGCAAGTGAAGTACACAGCAGCTAGAACTGGCTTAAATACCCTTTCCCAAATGTTTTTTCCCCCAGAAGTCTCACAAAATCTAGCCCCATTCCAAATATAACTGTTAGCACAATACTTGCAGCACTGGAAAAGCAACCTGCCTTCACAGAGCAACTGTCTGTATGTTTGCAAATGAGCTGGCAAATGCATGGCCAGCTACCCTTAAGAGGAATGGAGAGCATCATCCCAGTAACCAGGCATTTTTAAAAGGGATGGTGAAAGGACAAAGGGCAGAGAAGGGATTGATTGCTGACAGTGATGGAGGCAAAAGTGCAGCAAATCAGCTCACTGCTCAGACACACTAATTTGAGTCTTCTAAGCAACAAAACATTCACCTATCAAAATTCCCCTCCTCTGTTCGCACTTCCCCAGCTTCTGTCTGTGACCTGCACTGTGGTTAACCTGCTAACCGCAGTCAACACAATGACTTTACCAGAACACACAAGACAATCTCTACCGCCATTCTGCCCCACCTTCTGCTTGTGTTCCCTGTGATCGCTTATTTCCGTGCAGAAGGGCAGAATGAAGAGGCACCGGTACTGCAGCATACCTGCTGGGAAGTGCTGTGCTGCTCTGCAGCTCCCTCACCTACAGAGGAGAGAGGGGACACTGCCGGCCTTTCCTGCAGCCTTATCCAACTTCTTTGCTGCAAAGCACGGTGCTCATTTCCAAAAAGGCATGACAGAAGCAAGACTGCTGTGTGAAGGAAAAGCAGGGGAGTGAGAGAGGTGTGCTTGCAGAGAATGGATGGGAAAGGTCAAATCACACAAACAATTACACAAAATGCAAAGACTAACAGCCAGTCTGACAGCAGACATGGTCAGTAATGCTGGTCAGACCACTGCCCTTCTCATTTTATGCAGTCACAAGCTGGACTATAACCAGAGCCTAAAAGAGGGAGAAATATGATAAACAGAAGCTTTTGGGAACCAAATGTTTACTTAATGTGCAGTTTTCAATTACTTCCTCCATCTAAGAAATAGAGGACTTTACTTCCCAGAGCTTCATATCGAATAGATGTGTACATATCCCCCATCCTGAAAGGTCAGATTTCTTAAACTCTGAAATCAAAAACTCATTCTAAGCAATAGCATCCAAATATCCGCAGATCTATGTACCCATAGCTACAAACATTTGAAAGAGCGTCAGTTTTCTTTAAAGTTTCCCCTCAAGTTGTTTAAGGAAGTCTGAATCATTAGAGACATGAGTAACTTCAAGCTCTACATGAAGCCTAAAATCTACTGCTTGGTGCTGGCTCTTGGCATCTTGGAACAAACTGCAAAGAATTCAGAGTGTAATAATAAAATTACAGGGAACAAACCATAAAGGCAGATGAGAGGAGCCAGCTGTGGTATGTGGTGCGATGCAGCCTCACAAGCAGTGGCATGAATGTGAGGTGCCTTAAGGAAGATGAACTTGGTAGGGTTAGAGTTACTCAGCAAAGGGAATATTTAAACACCAGGAAAAGGTTAGAAAAAATAAAACCAATCAAAGCCACTTCCCTAAGCACATAAAGAATGCTAGGCAAATCAGTGGAGGCAGTCAGCATTTTTCTTTCTAATGACTAAGCTGCCTTTGATCCACAAGCCAAGACCTGATACATCCCACCCCTTCCAGAGTCAGCCTCAGTCCTGCCTGGGGCTAGTTAACCCAGGTAAAGCATGCCTTATGCTGAAGATCTGAACTTAATTCAATTTCAGAAGTAAAATTGTAGAAAAATCAATCAGAGTGCCAAGCTGATACACACATAACACATACACACATAAGAAAGTATTCCTTGTCTCCACCCTATTTCCTTTTGGATAATAATAGCTTGCTCATTCTATAAACCTTGTGAGGAATCAAAATCCCAGCTTATTTTTACAAGGCAATCTCTGAAGAGTAAAGAAATGTATTTTATTAATCACAGAGATGATAAACAAGAAGTGTGACTTGCAGCCTGAGTTCAGCAGAAGCATCACATGGAGGCAGCTTCCAAGCAGAAGTGAGCAGCTTGTGTGTGCAATCCATCTCTGCTCTCTACTTTTCTTTGTTCTGCAATCAGCATCCCCCCTGTTTGGGAACAGTTACATTACAGCACCGCAGCCAAAAGTCTGCTTTGACACTGTACATGTCAGAGAGCTCTCAGCTGGCCTGGGCCACGGGGCAGCAGCACAATAGACCAAAGAGGCATAGGGAAGGTACAGGGTGATGCTCTTAGCACTCAGACTGCTGGCTACAATAGGCCTCACAACTTTCACCAAGCAATGCTGAAATACAGTTTTGGCGAAGGATGAAATGTAGGAATTTTTAAGATCAAATTGCATGCTCTGATCACAGACTTGGCGGAGGCTATCTAACTTGCATGCCTCCAAGATTTAAGATAACAAGAGTTTAAGGATTTGTAATTGGAAGCTTGCTGATGCATCGTATTTGCCAAGTGAAAAAGTTCTACCACATTTAATACTTCAGCAATGATTCTTACAAAGGGTCCCATTCTCTTTAATCTGCTTCAGAGGATGAGACACAGAAAAGAGTATCTGATCCCTACTCTAGGGAATGTTTTTTAGCAGAGGGGTTGGACCGGATGTCTCTGGTCTCCCAGTCTCTGCACCTCTGTAACTCCATGAAAGTTTACATGACCATTAAAAAAATAGTAGTAATAATGACATAAAGAGAAACCACTGTCTGGTGACCATTGTATTGGGGATAAAACAACTGAGTTCTAAAGCCCAAACTCTCTACACTCGGATTTCATGGGCTGCTTGGAGGACCTGTGTGTAGAAATCACAACACAAACTGAGGCTTAACACCAGAGGAAAACCTATCTCCAAGCAGAAATCAATCAACACTAACTCACATCATCCTAATCTATAATAAAGCAAACAAATGTGTTTATTGTGAAACGAGGTAACTTGTTTGAGCAGTAAGAAAAGTTCATCTGTGTTTCAGTAGGCAATCTGAACATTCCAACCTTTGCCCATGGTAAATCCAATTCATTTCCTACTTCTGAAACGTTCTTGCTATCAAGTAAACATGTAGGTCATAACAAAGATGTAGCTTCCTGCCCCAGGGCTGTGGGGAAATACACCACTGTATTTTTTTCTGCATGATCGCATAAAGTTATAACCCAGTGGCCTCAGGGCAGAAAATATATGCCTAAAGAAAGCACATGCAACATTGCTAGTTTGCAGAACAGCCAATTTACTGTTCTCAAACACAACACAGACAGCCCTTCAACAACCTGGGAAAAGACAGGGTAACCCTGGCCACTACGTTCACTAGCAGAAACAAGAAATAAGAAAGATACTTCAATCATCCATTACATGGTTTCTCCCTGTGAAGAAGAAAGCTTATCTAGCTTTCACTTGTGGCAAACCTCATGCACCCAGATAAATCAGATTATTTCGCCCTGCATTAATTCAGATTGACGTTTGCACAGCGTCATCCTTCTTCATAAGGGTCGATTGAAAGGGAATCACGGAATCATTAAAGTTGGAAAAGACCTCTAAGGTCACGGAGTCCAAGCACCGACCCATTCCCTTCATGCCCACTGATCACATCCCTCAGTGCCACATCCACGCGGTGCTCGAACACCTCCAGAGACGGTGACTGCACCATCTCCCCGGGCAGCCTGTGCCACTTTGCAACTCTTCTGGAGAAGAGTTGTTTTCCTAACGTCAGCGTGGTTACCAAAAGATAAAGCGCTGACGGAGACGGACCATTTCTAGCAGAGCAGCTGCTGAGCCCACCACAGCCGCGCGCCCGGCGGTGCCAAAGGCGCTCGCTCAGCTGCAGCGGCACGGGGACACGGAGCTCAGAGCTCACGGCATGAAAGCAAGCGTGAGGTTTCAAAATACGCCCCAGCACCTACGTGAAACGGGTGAAAACAAACAGACACAACTTTAGATCAAACGGACCCAGGACTTGATTTCTTACCGACGATGGGGAAATGACTAATAACACTGCAACCCGCACGGAAAGCCGAGAACGGCTGCACCCGCTGCACAGATACCACAACATAAGGGTATTTACTAACGAAGAAACCCACGCCTGGTGCCTCACTGTCTGATTCCCCTCAGAGCCCCCGAGGCGTGAAGGGGAAGAGCGGCAGGAATGCCCCCGCACATTCGACCCCTCCGCCTGGCTCGCGCTCGCCGCCCGGCCGCACCTCGCTCAGCCCTAACTGGGATCGCCAGCGCCCTCCCACCCGCACAGCAAGGCGCGGCTGACACGGTGCCTCCCCAGAGGACCAGACCCCGCCGCTGGCGAGGGACAGCGACTCACCGCTCAGGTAGTTGGTCCACTTGTACAGCACGCCCTCCATGGCGACCGGGCCCCTGCCCCCATGCAGCGCAGCCGGCCCCCGGCGCGCTCACGCCGTTCGCCGCTGCCTCCCGCTGCCGCTTCTGCCGGCACCCAGGGCCATAGCGGGGCGCCGCCCGCCCTGCGCGGCCCGGCCCCCGCCGCCGTGCCGGCCCTCTGCCACGCTTCTGGCGCAGGGTGCGCCCAAAGAACCACCCCTCAGCGCTACGGTTGCGTAAAACATTCCAAGAATAGCAACTCCGCCTGACGAGCACGCGAAAGGGGGAGGGAACGGGCGCAGCACGCCCGAAGCAGGTGGCCTCCCGCAGCCTATAGGAACGCCTTCTTGGTGACGGCGCTGTCCAATCGGAGGCCGGCAGGAGCCGGCTCTATTGTGCAGACTCTCCGGCGCGCTAGCGTTCGCTTCCTGGAGCTCAGGTCCCGCCCCCTTCGCTTAGCGACCCTCTCGCAAAACGCCGCTTCCGATTGGGCAAACCGGAAAAGGCAGCCAATGGGCCAACGCTTCTGCTTGAGCTGAACCAATCAGAGGACGTGGTTCCCCCTAGTCCCGGCCGGCACGAAGTCGAGGGCTGCTGGCCGTGAGGGCAGCTGCCACGTCTGCGGGTTGGCCGGGCCGAGGGGCCGCCGTGCTGCCAGCAGCTGGTGGGCCATGGTGGGCTCGCGGCGCTGAGGTGAGCGCTGGGTCTGGCGGCGGGGCGGGATGGCTGCGCTGCGGGCCGCCCTGCTGAGCGTCCTGCTGGGCTGCGCGGCCGCGGCCCTCATCCCCGCGGCCGACGTGAAGGTGGAGGTGCTGCAGAAGCCGTTCCTGTGCCACCGGAGGACCAAGTGGGGGGACATGATGCTGGTGCACTACGAGGGCTTCCTGCAGAGCGACGGCTCCATGTTCCACTCCACGTGAGTTTCCCGGGGCGCGGGGCCAGCTTTGTGGATAGGATGTATATATGTGTGTGTGTGCGTGTAAGTGTGTGGTGCAAGAGGATGAAACAAGCTAGACGAGAGCTTTGCTATCACCTCAGAGCTGGCAGCCAGGAAGCTTGCATCGCTGGCAGACGCTGCTGCCTTTTATATTCTGATGTGCTGTAAGTGGTGTTCCGTACCCGGCCCAGACACATCGCATTCTGAGGGCAGCTGCGATGCAAATACGAGGAGGAGCCTGCAAATCCCTTGCTAATGGTGCCTTTCCTGTGAAGCGATGGGGTGCTAATAGTGGGAGACAGCGAGATGCTTACGAGGCCGCAGGCTGCACTGGAATCACTTGTGGAAGTCATTTTAAATAGCAGCCAAAACAGACAACGCTTTGCATGTTCACGGTCCTGCAGACGCAAATTAAAATCTCACTAATTTTCTCTTGTAGCTAACCCGTCTCTCTCAAAGGAGTTGTAGTGACGCTTTAAGATTTTGCTGCTGACTAACTCCTGTAAGTGCTCTTATGTCGTGTTCAGCACCTTTCTTGCATGACTAGAAATGGAGCTTTGGGCTGTAGTTAAAATTCTGTGCCTGTCAATAGATTGGAAGTGGTTGTGTTGTACCACCTGGTTATATTTGAAAAGGGGGTCGTCTGCCTGTTTTAAGTGTTCTGCATGCATTTATTTCTCTTTTTCTAGGTATCTGTTGTGTAGTCGTTTTTTCTTCCGCTGGCTTTTTCAGGAGAGATGTGACTGACTCTTCTAAGCATGTTACAAGGTATACTGCAGTCATGGCCAAGCTGATTTGTGACTTGCGATTTACAAAGAGCTTACATAGCCTTGAGCATAACTTCCAAGCATAAATGCCTTTCTAGTCTGATCAGTTTCAAAGCAAAATAAATGATCAGGAAAGTGAAGATGAGGATCCAGGTTTCTCAGCGTTGTCTTGAGTGCACCCTGTATGTGCTGTTTCATTCCTTTGCAGTTCTTAAGGCGCCTTGTCATGCAAGACATAACTTCTAAGGACTTCAAAAGTTTAGAACTTTCATTTGAGAAATACCAAGATACCATATAGGCTTTTATTTTTTTATTGCATAAGTGTGAGTGTTTTTGGTCTGTCCCATTTGCCTTTTATGGAACTTGCTGTTTAAAGATTGTGTTTTATTCCATTCTTTTCCAGTCACAAACATAACAATGGGCAACCTATGTGGTTTACACTTGGCATAAGAGAAGCCATCAAAGGCTGGGACAAAGGTTTGAAGGACATGTGTGTGGGGGAGAAGCGGAAGCTAACTATTCCACCAGCCCTTGCTTATGGAAAAGAAGGGAAAGGTAAAATGCCTAAACTCCTCTTGCTTAAATTGTTTTTAATCTCTATTAATTTTACTGATTTTGACTGAAGAGGTTAGCAAGTTTTCCGTGTTGATATCATTAATTAAGGGAAATTATTGGAGTGGGGTGCTGTTTCTCGAAAACTTGTTTTCTGCAGAAAATACTCATTAAGTGTCTTAAGTGGTGAATGCAGGAGAGGAATTTGTGACAGCAGCTGTGCTGTACATTCTGAGTGTTACTTCTGTTAGTGCTGAGCTCAGCAGTGCTCTGCTTTATTACTTATTTTCAGTCAAGCTTGAAGTGGTTACTATAGTTAACACTTTGGTTGTTGCATCTGTGTTTGTGATAATAATTCCATGAATGTGCATGTGCAAGCCTTGTTCTTTTTTGTGGGTTTCTTCTAGGAAGCTGAAGAACCTCAAGTTCTGTTCATCCTCTTATGTTCTTAAATGTTACAATGAAAACTCACCATTTATTTCTCCATATAGGGGCACTTCATTCTTTCCTTCTTACAACTTTGGGCAGCTGTGCCTGTTACCCAAAATAAGATATGTGGGAACATTAACAAGCAAGCTGATATCTACCAAAAACGTACTGAATGATGTGCAGGCAGATAAAAGCATGGCTTGTAATGTTTTCTCTCAACCTGTGTGCTGCTGGCAGTACTTTTCTCCCCTTTCAAACATTTTCAGACAAACCTTCTTTTAATGAGAAGGTCAAGACTGGAATGTGTGGTTAAATGAGTGACAGTTTAAATGATGCAGGAATGTTACTTTTTCTGCTTTATGCACGGCACAGCTGTAAGTCTTTTTCTACAAAAAAAAACCACCACCATTAAATGCTGTAGAGCTCACCTGGTAATTACAGGCCTAATTGCTTTGACTGAAGGCAACTGTAGTGCTTTACATATTAAAGGCTTGCAAGCCTCACTTATGCATTTAATGCAAGAAGGCTGAACTAGTAAACGCTGCTAGCTGCGTGCTTTGGGAAAACACTGAAGTATTTGAACGTATGAACCTTATGTTGCTGTGCTGTTGAAGAATTCTGTTTTCTTCATACTTTCCACTGAACACTCAGTTCACTAGCTTCCCACCTGGTGCCTTTCTTGCTCTCTGTCCTGAATGATGAGTCACATGCCTTATTCTGCAACCCTCAGGAAAAAAATTTACCTATGTTCCAAACCCCATGCAGGCCACCGTGGCCTATATTTCCAGAAGATTCTGTACATTTTTTCATTCTGGAGATCTATTAGCTTGTTAAATATATTCTGAACTGCAGAAATAAACATCACAGCTTCCAAACTGTTAAGTGAGGATTAATTTTCTCCTTATTTCAAGGCATGCACGTATTTTTGGAGTGCCTCTATCCAATATAGAAATAGAGAGGTTAAATAGGACCAAATGGCAGAGGAGCAAAGTTCAGAGCTAAATAGTCTTTGACAGTAGCATCAGCCATTAGGGTGAGGATGTATCATGCTATTGAAAAAGCCAGAGACTGATAAACTCTAGAGATGGTAATAATGAAATGTTCTCTGGCACTATCAGAAAATTATTAATGTATTGACTTGCATCAAAATGGAATGATGTTAATAACATTATGTGCAGGCTTATGTGTCCAGTTTCTGCTGTGTGTTTGGAAGTAGTTCAGTGCTTTTTGTGCTACAATTCAGAGACAGCCATAGGATACTGACAGCATTGCTGCCCTTCTGCTTTTCTTGTCAAGAAGTGCCAGGATACCACTGACAGAGGTAGCATTCAGTCCATCTGATGCACTACTTGCCTTGCTGTCCATTGGTCTGAGCTGTGTACTGAAACAGTAGCCACCTAACTTTATGGTCTATTTCACTGCTTTCTGCTCAGACTTGGTCTGGCTCAAAAAGTGGTTCAAGAATCTTGTCTCATAAGTCTGTGATGAGTTACTGAATAGGAGCTCACAAGAGTACACGCTAGCTTTCAACGAAGCTGGTTGCATCTGAACTTGCACATGTGTTGCAAGGGCTGCTCAGGGTCTGAGCTACAATCTAAAATAGTTGTACTTAACACTGTTACAGATGCTTATTCATTTTGGCTCAAAATGCAAGTTGCTTTGAAATAATGGGATTACTCTGAAGCATGTGGCTTTCATGGTGCACTAAACGTGTATCTTTCTAACTTCGTTCTGTACAGGAAAAATTCCACCTGAGAGCACATTGATCTTCAATATTGACCTTCTAGAAATTAGGAATGGACCCAGGTCTCATGAGTCGTTTCAAGAGATGGATCTTAATGATGACTGGAAGCTGTCCAAGCAAGAGGTGAGTGGGTTACTTTTCTTGCAAGCAAATTTAACAGAATTATGTAGTAAAAATGAAAAGATAAGGTAAAGCTTGGAAGCTTAGCTTTCAATAAAAGCTGAAGATGCACGGCTATGCTGTACCAAGCTGAGCCTTGGATCTTGAGCTGCTGAATTGAGGAGTCTACAAGTGGATTTTGCAAGCTGCGGCATAGGCATGTGATGGAAGTGCACCCCACACTTATGGAAAACTTCATGAAGTAGAACATCTTAGAAATAAAACTTCAAGGTTTGGTTGTTTGTTTTTTTTTTGAGTTAGTTGCTGCTTAACTAATAAACTAGATTTTGAAGATCACCTACTGTAAAGCAGTCCTGTTTTGTAGCTTTTACTGCCTGAAGAACATTTATGGAGCACTATTCTGCATTATTCTTGTTGCCTTTTATTTTCAGGCTTCTGTTTTTACGCTGTGTGTATGTTATCCATGAGAAGTTAGGATAAACCACTAAGTTCATAGAATTACCAAGACTGGGAAGGATCTCCAAGGTCTTCTAGTCCAACTGTCCACCTACCACCAATATTTCTCCACTAAACCATGTCCTTAAGTACTATGTCTAAAGATTTCTTGAGAACTTCCAGGGATAGTGACTTAACCACCTCCCTGGGCAGCCTGTTCCAGCATCATTTTTTATTTAGGGACTGGTTCAGTTTGTCAGTCCTTAGGAGGGTTATCTTTTTGTAATGCACAGCAGCTAGGCAGTGTCAGTGTTTCCAACATGCATATTAGAAACATGAGTAATGACCACAACACACACTGGAATGTGAAATGAATAAAACAGACCTGAAGCGTGACCCATTTATCTTTCTGTTAACAGTCCACTCTTGCAGTTTCTGTTAAACAGGTTCTGTCTATTTAACAAAGGGATGTGTTGCTATTAATATTCTGGAGATGCATTGCTATTAATACTCTGATAGAAAGCTTTGTGATTCAGAACACTTAGGCTCTTGGTAGTTAAACTCAGTAAAAATTGCTTGCCGTTAGTAAATGGCTTGGTGTACGTAACTGTTCTAGCTCTCCATTCAAAAACTGCCTTGAATCTATTTGTCCTTCAGAGCCTTGAGATTTCTAGTAAGACATTGTAATGTGTTGCCATTAGAGCAGTAAATGTAAAGATTATGGATAGATTTCTGTATCATTTTGGGGTTGCTGTTTGGGTTTACATCTGCTAGTTTGACAAATTGCTAAGACATGAGAATGCTGTTTTAGTTCTGACCAATTGGTAGCTATAATTTCTGCCTACCCGTTCATACTTTACTATATAGACATCAGATGACATACTTTCTTGGCACAGTTTTCAGTCGTACAATAAAGCCATGGCAACTAGTTTGCTAGCTTTATTTTCTTTCATCACCAAGCAGGGCCAAAGAATCTAGTTAGACAAGTTTCCTTCTGTTGTGGCGTAGGAAGGAAGATAACTATTAATAGTTTAATACTACCATCCCAACTCTGTCTCTTACATTCCAGTAATCAATTATCTTAAATATGAAGATGTTAACTCTCATCTTTTATCTAATAGGTGAAAATTTACTTGAAGAAAGAATTTGAGAAGCATGGAGCAATGGTAAATGATACCCAGCATGATGCTTTGGTTGAAGACATATTTGATAAAGAAGATGAAGACAGTGATGGGTTTATATCTGCAAGGGAATTCACATACAAGCATGATGAGCTGTAGAAAAGGATGACATAATTTTTTTGACACAAATGGCAATGACTTAGACTGTCTGGTTCTCTTGTCGTCTTGGTTCTGTGTTTTGGAGTTGACAGCTGCCATTGGCAGAAGAGAAATGACAAAAAAACAAACCCACGCTTTTTTATATTAAAAGAGAATTTCAGTTGTTTACGTTAAAAATATATATATATTTTAAACTATTTGTAAGATTGAAATTGTACTTTTGTGCAATGAAGACTTGCACATTTTGTTTTTTAATTTTGTATTAACTTATTTTTTCAGAAATGAAACAAGGTTTCCAGGTATCGAACATCTTGAAAATCAAAATCCAGTACAGTGCCTTTCTGTGCTTTATTTCTTCAGATCACATTCAGTGACTTTTACATATGACTTCTAGTCTGACTTAATCAATTATTTGACCTTCTTTTTTGTACCTTGCTGCTTGTAAAGCGGTGTGCTGGCATTGCTTGCTTTCTGCAGATTTTGAAATATCCACTAGAAAGCATCAACACCTTGTAAGACAGCTGAGAAACTCATACGAAGCTGAATGAGAAGAATGGCTGTCCTATGCTGATTCTGCTTTTCTAAAGGAGAATACTAAAATAACCGTTTGCATCACTGAAGGAAAACAAACAAACAAAAAAATAGGAGTTAAATATCAGACCTTCTCATTTTTATATTAGCAGTGTTCTAGAAGATAAGGTACTATTTTCCAAATAGTTTTGTTGTTCTGCAGAGGTAGCGTCCTTCACTTCCTTACATGCATTGGTTTGTGAAGAGATTGCATTTTCTTCACCTCAGGTGTTGAGAGACATCTAAAGAAAAAAATTTAGCAAATTTTTTTTCCCCATTTTCAGAAAGGAAGGAAGGAGCATGCTAACATGCAGGTCAGTATGTCCTAAAGAACATTTTGTGTTACTTGCCAGCTTTGCTACTGCCTGAATTGTAGAATTTGTCTTATTTTTTTTGCACCTTTGCTGTATTTTCACAGGTAGCACAAAAGTTATCTGAGTCTTAAGTAATAAAGTGACTTTTAAAAAAAGAAAAAAGAAATGTGAGGTAAACATTCTGCTGCTGAATCTTTATGGTGTGGAGATGATGAGGATTTCAGCTCTGTCTTGTGTGTTTGAACCCTCTCTAAAGAGGAAGAAGCTTAGTCATCATCCATGGGCCTGAATGAGTGGGTGAGGTATCTCTTAGAAGGATTTAGCCTTTATTCTTCCAGCACTAAAATGGGTTTCTGTACAGAATACTTGGATTTAAAAATACTGCCATAGGTTTTGTAGGGATATGAGGTAAACCAAATTGTATAAAATCAGTATTGCTGTAATGTGCTAAGGAGGGGTGGGGGAGCTTGGGGAGAGTTGCGTTCAAGATCCTCAATTAGCTTGATGAAAATCTTCTCTGCAATCTAGCGTTGCGTGTAAGTATTAGAAGACTGCTTTATTATAGACAGCAAGGATTTCTGTACAGTGATTGTGCTACGTGAAGATATGCACGGGTGGAGTTTTTGCGTTCCAGCATTTGGTATTTTATGGCATGTGGCTTACATGATGTGTAGTTTTTCATATTTTGTTTTAAACTGTTTTTTTTTTTTTTTTTTTTTTTTTACCCTTCTTCACAATGTCTAGTTTTCTTGAACCTATTTATTCTTTAGTTCTGTGGCAGTCACAGTAGAATGGCATAGGATGCTACTTCCATTTGTTCTTCTGCTTGTTGCCTGTCCTGGTTATTGTGAGGAAATAATTAACAAGTCATCTTACCAGTCAGTCATGAGTTTACATAAACTTTTTTTTCCTTTTTGCTCTAGAAAATTTGTCTTGCCTGACATTGTTTGTGTGCTGAGCATCTTGATTTCTCCTACAGTCACCAGAGCACAAGGCACTTTAGAGTAATTCATCATATTTATATAGTTCATGTTCTGTTAGGGTGGATGCCTTATCAGTCAGAGGTGCCTATCTTCCCCCATTAACTACGTGGGGAGCATAGACAATTCTTGCATCCAAGGCCAAGAATGTCTAATGGGTTATAAAGTTGACCCTTGAGGCATTACTGCTTAAGATTCAGGATCTGGTTGGTAACAGCCAACCAAATAGAATTACAATGTGAATGCTGCTGGGAAGAGTAGAATTGAGACTTGGAATGGGTATATCAGGTTTTAAAATCATTTGCAGTATTTAGCATGCTCACTGAACATCTGGCTGGGAAATGAAAGCATAAAAGCATGAAATAAAACTTGACCCTGATTACTGGCCAAATACTTCAAATTTAAGCTTTTTTTAATGGATACCAACCTACTTCTAAAGTGAAGGCCAAATGTTTTGCTTGTATTCAGTAGGAGTTTGGAGTCGGTGAATACTGTGAAATATGCATTATCTTCTGTTTAGATTTTGAAAATATTTCATAAAAATAACTTCAAGTAAACATACTGTAGACAATTAATGCCAGCAGAGTATTAAAGCTGCAAGGCCAAGATGATTTATTTGGTGTGCTGTGCGTAGATTTACACGGAGTGAATTCGTTTTAATGCTTTTCTTGGTAGCTATGTTACATTTCTGAAATTGAACTTAAAAATTTCTTAAAAGTGCAAAATCAGCAGCAGATTTCAGAAGCTGCTGCAACCTCATTACCATTTGCTGTCATTCAAGTTCTTCTGTGAAAATGAAGAAATTTCTTAGGAAATAACTGCCTGTCTTACCCTCAGCTGGTTGTTAGTCCCTGGGGCGTGCTTCTGCAGTGTCAGCAGGAGCCAGCTAGCTACTTACAGGGGAGCAGACATGAGCAGCTGCTCCTCCTCTGATGGGAGAAGAGGTATTGGAACTTCAGTAGCACTCAGCAACCGGCTTCTGTGCAAACTGCAAGCTCTATTTCCATGAAGAAACAAACCTTTGCTGCTTGTCTGTAAGATGCTGCACTTGAAAAAGTGGAGATGGCTCAACGGTGTTGTGAGCACGTACTGGATTGTTCCTCTTGCAGCTTGTAGCCTTCTCCCCACATTTCTTGTTTTCTGGTTACAGATGAAAACACTTTTTTTTTTTTTTTTTTTTTTTTACATACAGCAGTCTGTCATTCAGAGCTATGACCTAGCAATTACAATAGGAGTTGCTGTTTTGTGTACTTCAGAGCTCCTTTTATTTGAGAATCCTTGATAAGCATTGCAGTGACACAAGAAGGCTTTTGGCAAAGCTTCAGGAACAGTGTTTACAATCTTAAGTGTTTTCTGAAGCTTTCTTCTCTGAAATCAACTGACACAGCAAATGGTGTTGAAGCTAAAGGAAATTGCTTTACTGGGTTTCAAGTCTTTGCTTTATAATATTTTACGTCTGCTATCAACAATGTTTCTGGTATTGAGGTGTTTATGATGGGATCATAAAACTGCAGTGTGAAGTACGTATTGCACTGCTATGATAATTATTGTTCATGATACTTAGGACAAAAATGATCTATGGCATGTTTGAGAATTCCACATAAAAATTGGTGTTACAGGTCAACCATTAAATTACAAGTGCCTTTGTCATATGTGCTCTCCAAACCACAGTCTCTGTTGCTGAAGAGTCTACCTCTTAATCCAGAGATCTCAGCCTGAAATGGCAGCTATGAGCAGGGTGGAGAGAGCTCACTGCTTTGGGATGTTTCTGGGAAAAGGAGTGAAGCTAGGGCAAGTGCAGTAAGGCACAGAAGAGTGATTTGAGAAATGCAGAAGGCTTTGTTGTCTCAATCCTTTGGCATCTGATTCCTTGGCAGAAAACTGGCAGCCACTGCTACAGGTACTGCACATCGTAAGACAGCGGGTTCTTGGTCTGACTTGGGTTAGAAATCGCTGCTTCAGCTGATTCTTTTTGTGGGTTCTCCTCTTGTCACAAAGTTAATTCACACTTTCAAGGTTCATTAAAGAATATTCAGAATAGTTATTCTGAGTTTAATGTTGTCCTAAAATATCTCAGCCTCACTGTAAAGCTTTTGCAAAAAACAAAAACAAACCATGAAATAAACCCAAAACAGCTTCATTATTTTCATATAATCCTGGATAATTTTAGCTTTTCCTGAAAGCCAATCATAATGCTTACGTTCTGTGCCCTACTTTTCTCCTGGTGTTCAAGAAAAACAACTGTGACATAATGATCTTTCTTTAGCTATCCTGGTTCTGCTCTTACATCTGTGCATGATTATGTCCACAGTTTTACTCAGGAAGTTAACTAAGAAGATCAGTAAGAAGCTGCAGGGACAAACACATCCTTGCTTAGCTTTCCCAACCTGCAGTGAGCTCAGATGGGAAACACCTTTCATTGCATAATTTTAATTCCCAGAGCTTCAGATCCAAAAGTAGAGTGGTTTAGCTTTTACTTGATTTGGAAGCCTTGTGTTATTTTCTATCTTGGATGATATTAAAAAAAAAAAAAAAACAAACAAACAAACAAAAAAACCTTAGTTTAGCTGAGAAATTTGCCACTGAAGTGTAAGATAAACTGAAACTTCAGCATGTCAGGCAGATTTTGTGCAAGGTTTCTGAATACCCTGTTCTTGATGGAGGGTGAGAGTTTGTACAGAGGGACGTGTTCTCTATTAGAGAAACAAAATCTTTGAAGGCTTACATTAAAAGCTTGCTGGCTTTTTATTTACTGACTGAAATACTTTTCATAATGTTGTTAGTAACACATCATGTACGTGGGAGGGATTTTAAGCATATGTGCTGTCTATTCCTTATCCCTGTCCTTGCGAAGGGCTGGACTGAGCCATAAGTGGAAACCAGGGAAAATGATGTTCTGAGGCTTTTGCACATGTATGCATGTTTGTTGTGGAGGTGGTGCTTTGTTTTCTTGTAACTGCTCTGCATCTTGACTAGGTAAATAATGAACAAAGACCTTTGAAAAAATATTAGGTTTATTTGGCTGCTGAAATCTGGTGTAGCCAACTCTTCAGAGCTCCTCAAATCTCTTTTATGCTTTCCTCTAATTTAAAAATTCTGAGGCTGTTCCTACTACTGAGAGCTGCTCTTTGTATTAGGTATGATGCTTCTAATTTCTAGTTTGTGTTGTGACCTGCTTAAGGAGATTAAATGATGCAGGATAATTGATTTCTCATCTGAGAGTCAGACTGAAAGCATTAAATCAATTCTGTCCTCTTACATTTTGTTGCCATTGAAATTTCTTTAAAGGAGCTGATGTTTCTTCTTTCCCAGACTACTAAACTAGGTAATACCCATTTCTTTTGCACATGTGGCTTGCTGTCTCTCTGGAAGTAAACAGCTCAGCTTAGCTCTGGTATCTCTAATCTGCTGGGCTATGATTTCAGAGCAGGTTTTCATTCCGTAAATGCAAAGCAGAATGCATTAGTGACTCTGTGCCCAACTCTGGGTATGGAATCCATGTAGTTATACCTAGCAGACTAACAGTAGCTTAAAGAAAATCCTGACTTTCTGGATTACTCTTAGCAGCTTTGAAAATACTGTTTTGTGCTCCTTCCTTTTAACAGAAGGATGCAAATGCAAATTGTTACTATTATTCCAGCCCTTAGCTGGAATCCCATCTTGTCCTCATTGCTATTGTCACTAGTTGGGTTAAAATCTGGGAAACAGAAACAGCCAGTGTTAATTTGTTAGCAAGTTCCTCCTATGGCAGGGCTTTACAGCCTCAAGCTGCCATTCACAAAGCAGTGGGGCACTGTGAAGGCAGCCATAACCTCTGCACCTTGCCTTTTCAGTAGGCAGCTGTGGGAGAGCAGTACAGAGGCAATAATGTCTCTAGATAACTAACTGAAGTGCTGTCAGCCAGGTCCTGCTGTCACACTGCAGCCCTAGGGTGTAAAGCTAAGCACAAGCCTGGGGAAAATACCCCTGGCAATGGGGGGAAATAGAAGAGAAAATAGAAAGGCAGGGGGACAGCTTGTTGTACCAGCCCCCTTTTCTTGTCTGATAACTTCAGCCAAGGAAGCTTAAACACTTTTAGGTGACTGATTGCTGATGTTTCTTCGTTAAAATAAGTACATAGCATGCAACCAGTGTGAAATAGCAGAATTCGAACTGTGTACTATCTTCCCCACCACCTCTTCTCCGCCATTTTCCAGACATACATTCTGGACGAATGTATGTAGATGTATGTAATGTAAAGTCCTAGGGGCTCTTTTATGAGTGAGAAATTCTGACTTGGGAATATTTGTCCAAAACTTAAGCCCCCTGATGTGCAGAATAATAACAAAGGCTGCAAAAAAAAAACGTGCATAGATGGGACGTGCCACTGTTCAGTGTCCCAGCTTATGATGTGTATGGAGTGGTGAAAAGTGGTTGCTGACACATGTTTGACTTGGAAGTGTACTTGGCAGACCTGTTGCTGTGGTAACTAATCAGAAGGCTAACCTCCTCCGAATGAGTGCTGTTTGCATTGCACCAGATGGCTCATACATCACGTAGTGGCATTTTCTGTCCCTTTCATTACTGTTCAATCTTTTCTCTAAGTGCTGTGATTTAATTTGCAGCAATTTAGACACAAATTATTCAGATTTGTGACATGCTAAAATACAATACAAAGCTGCTTGGGTGGATGCAACCGAAGATCTACTGTTTCAATAATGATATATATAGAGCACAGGGTTACCATAGCATATTTCTTGCAGATAAAGTGAGACCATTTTTTCAATTCGTTGCTCTGCTACAAGCAGTTCTGCCCAGGCAGCGTGCTAGCAATGAGAATATGGATGAAAGCTAAGGATAATTTCATTAAAAATTCTGTATTTGTATTTTCTGATTTTTATCTGTTGGGGTTTTTTTATTTTTTTGTTTGTTTGTTTGTTTGTTTGTTTTTATTACTGGCTTATTTTCTCAGAATGACAGATCTATTTCTTTCACCTACTTTGACTATTTATTATTGTGAGCTACTGTCAAGAGATTCAGCCTAATTGTTACAGATTCTGTTACAACTCACCTATAAAGCCATAGACCTAGAGTTTTTTCTTAAGTCAGTAATAATAAATGTCTCATGATAACTTTAGAATTACGAAAATAAGTATGCTGTCACAGATCATTATACATCATCAATGTTCTAGTTTTCCTGCTTTAAAAATCAAGTGATAGACAATGCTTTTTTGGTAAATGTAATCATCACTCCAGGGAAAGGCAACCTTCTTGAATGGGTGTTTAGTTGTGTAGTTCAGTGCTGAGTCTGACAGGTCTCTAGACGTCAAGCACACCCTGAATCCTTGTGGTGTGCTGGCTTCTTCTGTCCCTGTGACTCTGGTTAGCAGTTGTGCTTTGTTGTGTCACTTCTACAATGGAGAAATGAATTACTTTCTGTGTGCATGAGTAAGAACTGGGCATCTAAGCATACCATTGTGCCTGCGATGGCATCTTACGTACAGCTGCAGCCATTTACATAGCTTAATCTTCAATGGTTTAATTGGATAAAGGGGGTGCACCCAGGATTTCTCCTATCTTTGTAATTCAAACAATCACTGAGCCCAGCAGATGTGATCTCTGTGTGTCAGAATATTGCACCTGCTGCACTCTGCCTTTGTTATGGACAAAACTCCCAGAGTGTGGGAGAAGTACTCTCAACTATCTGCACCGATCTCCTGACTATAAAAAAGGAACCAACACCAAAGTATCATTGATGATTTCTGCTCTTTTAATTTATGACATCACAGCTCATCTGAATTTACTGGCCTATGATATGACTATTATCCTAGGGGCTTCAGGGGTTTTTCAGTGTTGCACAGAGTTAGCTCTTCTGTGCTTAGGATTTTTGCTTCTGTAACTCACTGCAAATGGAGTCCATTAAGTTTAGTAGAATGCCTTTATAGCTACAGGTTTAGAATTCTGACTTAGCAGTAGGCAGCTAATTTTTCTCTGTACAACACTAACTCATCTGATTATTATGTGCTCTGAAACAATGCTCCACCAGAGAGGACAAGGCTAAGATAGTTGCTTGAAATATCAGAAAAGCATACCAACAAAAGGGATTTACTGGCTGAACTCACCTTTCACAAAAACATATATGACTTAAAAACCTAAGTGGTCTTTTTTGTTGTCTGAATTAAGCTAATTTGTTTCCTTCTAAACAGTGCTGAAAAAAAAGTCATTTGATTGACTGTATGTGTGTCTGCATGTCTGCTGTCTTAGATTTCCAGAGGAAAATAGTTTGGAACGGAGGAATCAAATTTATTAGTACTAAGGATGCTGGATACTAGTTCTGCTGAATAGGCTTTGATCTCCAACTGAGGAGGTGTTGAAAGGACAAACACACAGTGACTTAAACTGTGTGTTGCTCTGGTTGATTAGTTTTTCCACACATTAAATAAATAAATAAATAAAACCAAGGAGAACAAGGGTTCTTTAAATTTCTGTTCTGTGAAGATGTGTCCTTCCTGTGTTCCTTCAATGTTGCATTTTTTACATATCCATAAATTCTGATGTCATTATATTAAATGTGATGAACAAATAATAGATGAACATCATGGTTTTGTCCTAACCATAATAGTTTTGTATTTTTTGTTTATGCAGCAATCTCCGTTCAGAGGTTTCAAAGATGCAGCTGTAACTGAGAGCTCTCTCCATTTCATTTTCTCCATCTCATTTATAAGGCAATTTAATTGCCATGAGGTTAACAAGCAGTAGGCTTATGGCAGAACAGCTCCCCTGATTGCTGGGACTGTGCTCTAACCACTCGTCTTTGCTGCTTTACACAGGTCGTGACAGCTTACACAGAAAAGAAGCATCAAGGATTTCTGTGAAGCCAGTGTTCAGTCATTCAGTAGACAGTAATAATTCTTAGGTAGATTATACTTAGCCATAATCATCTCTAGAGTAATTAGGAGAACAGACTTAGTCATGTAAGTGAGCATAATAGGGCAATGAAAGTAGTGTGTTATAGGATATAATTTAAAATTCCTTTTAAATTGCACCTGCTCTTTTCTTTTGCTATCTTTCTGCTTCTGAGAAGCGAGCTGACTCTGACATGGTTCATCCTTGCTGTAATGCCAGAGCAAGGAATTTGGATTGCTATTTTTAAACAAAGTTATTACAATTAAACTGGTATAAACTCCTCAGCTTTTCAGTATTGATTCAAACGATTCAAATCACCTTACAGTCAGGTATTTCAAGTACAAAGTATCCAGCCTTTTTTTTCTATTGCACAGCATCTTACACTGTAATTCTGATCACAGCAAACAGTTCAGCGCAGAAAAATCAAAGGTCTTACCTAAAATACAGGATGGAAGATCTTAGAGTATCAAGAACTGCACGAAGCTATTGATCAGCCCTGTATTTTAACCAAGAGCACTGAGCCTAAGTGGTGACTTCTATTAGTCTCTATTCAGGTTGCTGATATACTCAAAGAAATGTACAGATGGCACAGCATTTTTCATTCACTGAAATTTAAAGTGTGAACAGCAATTATTTTTTATTTGTACTAACTATTTATTTGTTGCGAATGAAGATGTAACTTCTGGTCTGTGATGGTGTCCAAAGCTTACTCATAATTTCTGAACCTATGCAGTCTCATGGATCCATGTTGTTTAAGGTGGTGAGAGGAAATCACTGCCTCCATATATGGTTCCAGAATTTTTCCTTCTAAATTTTCTTTTCATATGGGATGCTGTATACAGAGCCTTTTCATATGGGATGCTGTCTACCTTTTTGACTTTCCTTTGTCAGGTTATTAAACTAGATCTAGTGAGCAATGTAATATTCAAGTGTCTTGATTCCTACCTTGAAGAGGCGAGTGACTTGTACTTATTCAAGCTGAAAGTGACTTTTGGTCCTGTGGCTTTTGTGATTCATTCTGCAGATCTGTTAGGCTAGCCTGGCTAAGCCTAATAATTCTGGTGACTGAAAAGGGATAGGAACTGCTTTAGCAGGGGAATTGGACTAGATGAACTCCAGAGGTACCTTCCAACCGATATGATTCTGTGAAATGCCTTGAGGAATTCAGCTCTGACCACAAAACTATGCAGCAGTAGGGAGCACATCATGATAAGGAACTTGTCGGCATTAAATTCTGCTTGCTGAACACATAAAACCTGCGATAGGAGACAATCATTGAGAATAAACCTCTTGATCTGGGGCATAAAGCTTTTCTATAAATTTCTGTATTTTCTCGGCCTTCCTCAGATTCTACATGCTTGCTTCTTTACCTCTTTCTGTTCTTTGGCTGGAAAGCTCTGGTTGTTAATGCTCTTTTTTTTTCCTGCCTTTTGGTTCATCCTTGTCTTTCTGTCCTTCTTTCCAACTTTCTTTCAGCCTTTCCATCCTCCTAGCAGACATGGCAGCCTCTTCTGCACACTGAATGTCTGGGCTGGAGATGATGTTGGCAGAGCAATGCGGCTCCTACTGCCTCAGTCGGGGCTGGTACGGCACATAGGGCAAGCTATCTGATTCCTGCACTGAGGATTAGGCAGGATGTGCCCTGTACTGGGCCTCAGAGGGATGGATGCTCAGGACCATGGAGCTGGCAGGTCCTCGGGGTTCAGCCAATGGAGGGGTGACAGCTTACTGTGCCACGTCCCTTGAGACCAGCCAAGAAGCCCCGATCTCGAGGCCATCCTCCATCTTCATCAAGGCTGGGAGCCGCAGGACGGGCGAGGCCTCGTGGGCCGCTCTGTACCCAAGCACGCCAAACGCGGCCACCTCTTCCAGCCGCCATTTTCGTGGCCCCTGCGTGGCGTCGGTGGGACCCCCCGGCGGCGGCCGCGAGGAGCCGCTGCGCTCCCTCACACGGGGGCGTGGGGAGACCGCCGTTATCGCAGAGCCGGTGTTGAGGACGGAGCCGACGGGCCTGGCTGCCGGGACAGCGAGTCGCAGAGCCGAGACCGCCGCGGGGCCGCACAACCGCCGCGTCCTCCGCAGAGCCGCAGCGGCCGGGACTCGCAGCGCGGAGCGGTTCGGGCGGCGGCTGCGCGCGCAGGGGAGGGGGGAGACCGACAGGGACCGCAGCCAGCGCCGGGCTGAGGGGAGCGGAGCGCAGCGCCAGGTGCGTAACGGTGCGGGATCGCCGCGGGCAGCGCTCGATGGAGCGGGGCGGTGGCGGGCAGCGACCTGCCGGCCGCGGCGGTGAGACGGATAGAGGTGGCGGTCCCGCTTCCCCCCGGCCCATCGCCGTTCCCGGCGGCTCCGCGCACCTGCCGCGGGGCTGCGGAACATGGCTGCCTCGGCCACCCCTCGCCGTCCCCTCGGTGCCGCCCGCCGCCCCTCGCCCTCTGGTTGACGGCAGGGCTCTCCGGTGCCCGCTTTCCTCGGGCTGCCCTCTCTGCTGGCTGCTTCCCTTCTGCTTTTGAAGCGAGCAGTGCTTGCCGTTTCCCCTGTTCCTCTTCCACCGCCCCCCACCGCCCCCCCCCCCCCCCCCCCCCCCCCCCCCGTTATCTGAAGGTGCCTTTTCGCGTAGTCACCTTGGAATGCGGCCGCCCCGGTGCCGTTTCCAGGCGCTGCTGGTCTCAGGTGGGTGCGCGATGCTTTTGCTTGCACGAACGGCTCCGTGCGGAGTCTGCGAAGCTGAGCTCTTGATTTATGCTGCTCTATGATCGACCTGCCTAAAATGAAGTCGTTTTCTCCGGTACTGATAATTAGGGAAGAGAAAAAGATCTTATTGCAGCAGCATCCCAAGCAGAAGGGAGCTTTACTGGGCCTGAGCCTGTGAGTGTGCAAGTGTATAAATCCATCAGTGTGAAAAATTTCCTTAGTGCTGTGGGTGAAGCCGTCCATACCTGTAAAATGTGGAACTTTAAATGCAGCAGTCTCGGATTGTATTGCAGTGGAGTGGGTTAGTTCTGAAATGCAAGCTCATTATGTGTGTTGGATTTACTCAGCAGTTCAGGAGGTAATAACTACGTGAACCTGTGAGAAGTTGCATCCATTATAGGCTATTACCATTTATACTGTTGGTCTAAAAGCTGTTATGGATTTATGGACTTAAAGCACCTCTAGGCATGCAGTTTGGTTCATGACATGCACCCCGAACCCTCCAAACAAACAACCTCAGAACAAACCCTCTCATATGTATTTAGGAACCTTGTTCCTGTGAACACAGAACTTTAGCTTTGATTCATCTCAAATCAGAGAAAATTAAACCATTCATAGTGCTATAAACTTTCCCAAGCAGTTTAGGTCCCAGAGTTTGTATGGACAGTCTGAAAACAGATGTCACATTGAAGAAAATGTGGTGAATGAAAAGAAATCCTTTATTGACATGAGTAGGGTTTATCTTACCCAAAATAGCATTTGTGGCGCTTGGAGTTTGAGATTTTTTTGAAAGATATTTGTAACTTTTGTTTTCCTGCGATGGCAGGGCATGGTTTAAATTGCTTTTGCTTACTCTTGCTAAGTGTATTTTTGGTAGAGGTACCAATTTGTTCCATCTAACCTCTCTTCAGAAGTCAGCCATGCAGATTGCATGTGGGAAGGTGTGCTAGTTAGTGCTAGGAGCTTCCAGTGAGAATTCCCTTGTTCATTATGGACTTACAGATTTGTGGAACTGGAGCTGTCCTGGTTATGTATTAGCTTTTTCTTCATGTAAAGTCATTAAATTAAGAAACAGAATGAAACTGAGGTCCATGACTGTCACTAAGATACCCAGGTGGCTGGCTTCTGATGCTAGGTATTTTATTATGTGGTGACTTTTGCAAACTCTGTTGCTAGCATTGCAACATTTACTCTTGTTTGGAGTTATATTTTAATCAAAAGTGAGACTTCCGACAAGGCACTTGGATGCTTTTTATTTTACCCCTTGTTAACACCACAGCGTTGCTGATTTGAATGGACTGCCAGTCAGTGCACATCAGCCAGTTCTGTGTGCAGGTGGGCATCCCTTCCTGTACCAGATCAGGGCTTCACTGTACAGCACAACTGGATTGTATAAAGATGGAGAAGTACCCTGATAAAAACTGTGCAGCAGTAACACCATCTCACAATGAACTTTTGTGCTGTACAGATACTTTGGATGCCAGTAAGTCCTGACTACAGTCCCTGCCCAAGTGGCAGAAGCTGAGAACTTGTGCAAGAAAACAAATCCTTCCCTACCAAAAGCAGAGGCACAAATATGACCCTAGGTCTCAAGGTGGAATAGCATCTACAGAAGGAATATAGTTCTGTGTCCGCTTGGAGACTTAATTAAGTGCGCTGACATCCACTCAGTGAAGAGTTGGTGGTATAAATAATGAATTTTCCCTGTGTACACAGCCTGTAATGGAAGTGAGATTGAAATCTGTTGTCTTCTGGATGGCTGACCCTAATTTGTTTTTAAATAGAACTAGTTTTCATCAATGTAATGTGAACTACTTGAGGCAAAAAATTATTTCCCATTTGCTTTTGAAAGATGTCTGCTAGGACAGGATGGTAGAGGGCTTGTTAGACAATGAAAATAGAACTGGTTGATCAGAGGACTGCAGACTTTCTAAATGGCTGAAATCTTACCTTATGTTAAGACTGTAAATGCTGAAGAGTTATGCCAGTATCTAATTTGCTACACAGATGCAAAAAATCTATCAGCAGTCTTCAGGATCATCCCAAATTTTCCCCACATGCAGCAAGAGAAATATTTTCAGTTCCTTTCAGTCCTATTATGCATTTGTTCAGTAAAATGACCGAAGGGGGTGTGCTGTGTGGGAAAGCTTTGAAATGTTTTTATCCTTGTGTAGGGAACTGCTACATCTTATAAGTAATAAAAGTGAAGCTACTGGAGAAAATGGCCATCCCAAACATATAGCTAGAAATGTTGAGGTTTTGCTCTTATTCTCCAAAATGCAGTAATTCCTTCTGATGTAATTAGTGTTCAAGGAGAGCGACTGACTTGAGAGAGAGAGAGAGAGAAGTTGAGCTTGGTTTGTGAAATTTCAGCTGCTGCTAACTCTTCTTAGATAGCTTCTCAGACAATTGGAGAGAGAGACAATCAAAACTGAGTTACAGTTCTGTAGGATGTGGCACCTTTGAATGGTGAATTTGTGCCACTGTTCTTGAATGGTAAGGAAAGAGTCAAACAGATTAATAATGAAACGTCCAAACCATAGGAACACACATCTGGCACAGTTTTGTGCTTTACGTTCAGGGACAGCCTCTGCTTTTCTAATTTTTTTAATTAATGCAAACTTCCTCTTTTCTGCTAAGTCAGTCTTTAAAACTGTCCAAATTGTCAATTTAAAAAAAAAAAAAAAAAAACAAACCAAACAACCTTTCAGTGTCTCCTAAGTTGGGAACAGTATTATTATTGTGCCTTTCAGATTGCTATCTTTGTTCTGAGCCTGAAGCTGAATGAATTTTGCTCTTCATTTCTGTTTTTGGAAATGTTGCTTTTCTGCAGGATGCAGAGATCACATGTCTCTGTGCATAAGATGCTAGACTTGATTTGTAATGGAAAGACAAGCTTGTCTCAGGCACAGGAAGCGTTTTATTTTGAAGGTTAAAGCATTGTTCAAAACCAATGGCTAAACTACAGTTTTCACAGTTGAGATTCCTTCCTCTCTCCCTATTAAGAACACGGGAGAGGTAAGAGGGTATGTATGGCCCAGTTGATGTAGTCTTTCCTTCCTAACGAGAGAGCATCTATCCAAATTTGAGGAATGTTGTTCAGGTGCTGCCTCTGAGTTCTTAATTGCAGAAGTTTGCTGCAGATTAGGCGACTTGTCCTTTCTGGTAGCAATGAAAACAGACTTACTGGAATCTTTAAACATTACTGAATAGTTCAGAAGTATTAGCACAGCTGGGATTCTGTTTTGTAAAAGCACAAAATAAAGTGAGGAAAAGTCATACTTTTATACACAGAAACAAGCTGCGTGTCTTTGTAAAAGGCTTAATGTGCTCTCTGGAGTTTAGAGGCACCTTTTGCAATATAAAAATTAAAGAAAACATTGACATAACCAGAAAGCATTCAAAACTTATCAGCAAAAGTTTAGCAGCCTCTGTATTTCTGGTATCCAAAGCACTTGTCCCAGACCAACTTCAATTCCAAGAAACTGTAGAAGTGAGAGTGGGGAAAAATAATGTATATGGTTATTGAAACTGCTGTGAAGGTCTGAGATGAAACCCTAATGCTAACCCTCTCAGCCTTGTGTTTGTGGGTACAGGCTTGAAAAGATGTGGACCGTTTCTGGAGATGACAGTAAATAACCAAGGACAATCACCAGCGTGCTTGAAAAACAGGGCATTAAGTGGAGTTTAGACTTCACCCTGTACAGCATAATAATTGTATCAACAAAACTCTTGGAGACAAACAGAAAATGTTCAAAGAGTGTCTGTGGTAGTGTCTGTGATTGTTTGAAGAGCATCTTGTGCTGCCAAGGTGGTAAAGGGATGGGAGCATCTCTCCTGTGAGGAGAGACTGAGAGCTGGGACTGCTCAGACTGAAGAACAGGAGGCTGAGGGGGATCTCATCAGTGCATACAAATATGTGCAGGGAGGGTGTGAAGAGGACTGAGCCTTGCTGTTTTCAGTGGTGCCCAGTGCCAGTACAAGGCTCAGTGGGCACAAAGTGGAATACAGAAGGCAGCATCTGGACATCGGGAAGCATGTCTGCACTGCGTGGGTGACAGAGCACTGGCACAGACTGCCCAGAGGCTTGAGGTGTCCTAGGAGAGCTCCAAAAGCCATCTGGACGTGGCCTGGGCACCCTGCTCTGGGCATCCCTGCTGGAGCACAGGTTGGACAGATGGACACAGAGGTGTGTGCCAACCTCAGGCGTTCTGTGAAATGCGTGACAACGAGAACGAGGGCAGCCTGACGATGAACTAAGAAAAGGGGAAAGAGCAGGAAAGTGGAAGTCTCCTGCTTAGATACGTAGCTGCTAACAAACTGCTTCAGTTGTGTGATGAAGGAAGATCAGTGGTGTTCTGAACAAACTTGGGCTGTGGTGTATTCGAGAAACTGCTGTCCTTGTTGTATTTAAAATTAACCTGGTGAGATTGTAGGAAAAACTGCTACCTAGCAAAGTGAGCAGATTTAAGTTGTAGCTGACTGCTAACTGGCTTCCCTCTTTAGAAACAGAATTTAAGATCTCAGGGGGGACTTCTAGGATAATTGTGTGTTCAGTACAAGGCTGTAACATTTAACTTGTGGTGTGTGACTGTTATATGCAGCCCTGTGCCAAGTGTAGTGTTGTGGAGTGTTACAAAGTAGCTTACTCCTGTGTTCATCCTTAGTGTTACCAAATTGGCAATTTGTTTTTTGTTTCAGTAACTGTTGGTAAATCTAAAGAAACAAATCAAGAACCTAACAGATAGAAGTGACCCCATTTTATGCCAAGGAGGACTTCACGATTCTATACAGCATTAGATACCTACAGATTTTTAATTATTTTCCTCAACTACTCAGTCTGCAGGTACATAGAAGTCTGCCTTGAATACCTTAAATATTCCTTTGCTTCTTTTTAAGCATGCCTGGCCATGTATTTGGTGTGTAGATAGAAGAACGTCCAGCAGCATAGAAAGAAGGTTAGTGTCTGTCAGTTGCCTCAATGCATTTCAAGTAGACCCACTTGTGTTTAGAATAGAAAAAAAAAAAATCTTTTGCTTACTGATATCTACTGTAAGGCTGAAGTTATTCAAGATTTTGGCTGGTCTGGCAAAACATCAGAATAAAATTTAGAGCTCTGAGCAATGATTTATCTAAGTGTAGATGTGAACTCTTAGTGTTTGTTGGAAAGCAGCTAAATTGACATCACCAATGTAGCAAAAGAAATGTATGTTCCTGGAATAATTCATGGTTTACACCGAGCAAAATACTAAATTGCTTCATTAGGGAAGCAGTTTGGGCAAATCACCGACAAGTTGTATTTTAGTTTAATCGTAATGCTCAGATGGCTCACAATGGGTGAGAATGGCAATTAAAGTGGAACTTTGTCTCCATGTCCACCTGCAAGACATCTATGTGCAACTCAAAATGTATGCTGTGCTAGTAAGTCCTCCAATAGGTGTCCTCCACCAGGTGCATTTTTACCAGCTGAACTCACTCTGGCTTACAGCTGCTCAGCCTTCATCAGTGGTCTAAACTATGCCTGCAAAGAGGGGCTTGTGAGTATAACGTAGTGTGTTTTCATCTTAGCTGGCTTGTTATTTTGTGTAAAACCTTACCTAAATTAAATTGTTACGTGAGTTCCCTACAGTTTGTCAGCCCTCATTGTGTTGTCAGGGGACACCTTTAGCACATTGTCTCTTGGTGATTTATTTTTTTTAAGTTGAGCAAATCTATGACCTGTTCATGGTTTATAGATGAACTCGGGTGTTTTCTTCATAGCCCACTGAAGGGAAGTCATTCATAGCCCACTGAAGGGAAGCCTTTACATAAAATGGTTTAACATTGGAAGCCTGCTATTCTGTCTCAAAAATGTGTTCTCAAGTGGTACTATTTAAAAGAAAATGTCAAATTTGAATAGTGTACAAAAACAGCTTTGCACATCTCCCTCCCTGTACACATAGTGCTCTTTCAAAGAACTTAGTAGCCATTTTGTGGAAAGTTTTGATTGTGTATGTTGTGTCTAATGCATTGAAACATGTGCATCTGTTTTTACCTGTTCAGAATATGATGGAAGGAGAAGAGGAATATACACATTCGTTTTTGCAGCAGGGAACTTCTGATAAATTCTGATGCAATGATCTGTGAAATGATCTCAGGAATTGATGCTGAGTGCTATTTTAACAAGCACTGCACCTTTTTCTTCTGGTGTGTGTCAGAAGGTTCAGTGAAGGGAGAAAAACTCAGTTATAGCAATGTACACAAGATGAGCTACAGGGGTGTCATAGTCCTGAAGCCATTTACACTTTTTATGAATAACTGGCATTAAGAACACCTACAATGTTTGTGCTACCATGCAAGCGTTTTAAAGAATATTCATATTAGCCTGCATAAACAACTAAACTGCAATCAATTAACTTTAGGTAAGAGCAACAATGCAGACAAACCGCAGAGGAAATAAAGTGCCATTAGTGCTTCAGTCTCCCTGATCTGAGTGGATAAATTGACAGGCAGTTGTTGTTATAACTGTGCTATATCTTTGTTCTGTTTCCAGTTACACCATTGTCCTCCCTCAGGAATCCCTCAAACGTGTTTTCTCTCTCTCTCTCTCTCACTTTCTCTCTCTCTCTCTCTTTTCTTTTTCAATTTTAATTTATTATTTTTTAATTTTGAACTGCATGAGAGCAGTGAGAGTAAATTAAAATTCTTCTATGTCTCTGCACTTGTCTGAGTCAGCAGTATACAATCTAGGTCATGTGTTCCCAAACAGCTCTGATGCAGAATATTTTCTTTCCTTCTATGGCGACTAAGTAGTTTCATTAAGGTACAGTCATCTTGTCTTCTTTCTTCCTCTGTGTGCCTTCACAAGGCCTGGGTAAAACATGTCTGAAAATCTCTACAGTTCTTTTTATTAAACCCAGATGAGCCTCCTCTGAGCTGATATCATCTTCCACTATCATTACATAATCAATTAGAGGTGATATGTTGTCTCTAAGATGCAACAAATCACAGTAGAATTAATGATTCTTTATTGCATGAAATTACAAATTAGACAAACATCAGTTTTAACTTTTTTCTTTTTTAGGATGGCTGAAGCTCCTCCAAGTTACTGTTTTGTAGCCTTTCCCCCATGTTCCAAAGATGGGCTGGTGGTGTTTGGAAAGAACTCTGCACGGCCTAGGGATGAAGTACAGGAGGTGGTCTACTTTGCTTCTGCAACTCACAATCCAGGAAGTAAAGTTGAGGTAAGGGTGAACCGTTACGTTTCAGCAATGAGAAATGAGTATTATTAAAATAAATGAATGATGCTTGTTTTCTTCTCAGATCTTGAAATCCTTGTTCCCTTCATTCAAACCTCTCTTGAGTAGGGGAATATGACATTTCTGAAAGTTCTAAAAGTGAAATTTGGAATGTAACATTTTTGTTGTTATTGTGTAATTGAGGAAATTTCCATGAGCTGCACTTTTTCCAGCAGACAGGCTGACTTGTTCACATCCCAGGAAACTGCACTATGTAGCCTACATGAGAGGAGGTTAAGAAAGGGGAGAACGAACTGGAAAGGAGGAGGAGCAAGTGTGTAGTGAAGGTGAAATGAAGAAACTGAGGTAGCAGAAGGAAAGACAAGGATTAGTGGGGGTGGTCATTTGAGCGCCTGCATCCATCTCTGTGGCTGTGCAGAAAGCAGAAGACACTAGGTGGGATGCACGAGGAGTGTATCACCAATCCCTACGGATCATTTATGGATATCAGAGTTGATACTTCCCCAGAAGAGATCCTAACACCAGTGCCAGTTTTATTCTGTCCTTGAAGTGGGACCACTTCCAAATTTTAGAGACTGTGGTGCTGTTTGTCTTTGCAGCAGTTAATGTTCTCCTGATTTGTTTCACTACTCACATGTAATGGTTTAATCTTGGATGTAAAGTAATCCCATCCCCCTTCTGAAAAGCACAAACTGCTGCTTACTGCAGTGCTGAGTAAGTCGCACTGCAGTAGACCTGTGCTAGTAACAGAACACAAGTGTGACGATAAGACAGGAAGAAAACTGCAAAGTAGTTTTTTAGACAGCTTCTCATCACCAAACTGAAGATGAAAAAAAGTGTGTATGTGGAGGAAAAAAAAAATTAAGCCTTTGTCTCCTCAAAGGAGAATAATTCTAAGAGCTTAAAGAGTTAGAGTAGTTGTTTATTTTGGAGTCTTTTCCCCATATCTCGTCCTTCTCCTTAAATCATAGAAACTTTTTTTTTTAATGGAGGTAAAGTTTGTTGCAGTGTGGTGCAGGTGCAGCATTAGACAAGAGACTGAAGTGGACAAATACCTTAATTGTATGTAGTTTTATTTCTCTGAAGTTTGGGCTTAAGCCCTAATTATGTGGTTACTTTGGCCTCTGCTAGACTATGCTATTGTATAATTCTACATTACCTTAAGAGTACTGTGATTTACAAAATGTGTGGGCTCCAGCTGCTTGCCTAAATTCTTCCCATTTCCTCTTAGCAGAGAATAAAAACGTGTTCAGTTGCTCTGGGATTGATGTTAAGTGACTGCTTGCACTGCATCTTTATCACACTCAGCACTAAGTATTGTTAATGAGTGGGACTTTTTGCTGTTTAAACTAATGTGTGTTAGAGTAAGCTTAAAACAGTTACTGGCTTTAATTATTTTATGAGGTCTGAAGATTCTCTGGTGGCTTTGCAGACTCCTTTAGCTGCTTTCTTTCAGACAGACCTAAGCACGTATTTACTTGCCAGTTTGAGATGTTTTTCCTGCTTTCATAGACAAGTAATGTTTATTTTCATGGAAACTACAACAGATAGAGCACAATAACGCTGTTTGATAGAGCAAATTGTCAGCTACAAAATGCTATTTTTCAACATAGACACCACCAATAGCTGTGTGTTTCTCCAGCAATGAACAAGGGCCTGCATACAGCACTGAAACATCTGTATAGCCGTCTGGAACATGACCTGTCTTTCATGCTGTTGCCACTGCTGAAACGCAGCGCCCATCACCTCACTGTGCTCACATTCCCTGCCTCCATAAATGTTCAATGTCTCCAGCGAATGTCAAGGGGTGCAATTTTTTTCTGTATGGAGGAATTCAGTGACATCCCTTTGCTTCATACACGCTTCTGTGCCAGCCGCACAGTTCAATCCCTACTGCCATACCACCAACATCTGCCTCTGACGCTGTGGGCTGACATGATGAAATAGGAGGCATCGCTTTTTGGAGCAGCCCTTGTATATTAAGTTCAGTCAAATGAATGAGTCTAGCAAATATCAATGTTGGAGAGTGATTCTCTTCAGATTTTGCTGTTTTTGTAAACTAGTCACTTCAAAGGTCTTCCAAAAAGCCTTATAGTAATTAATTTGGTAGGAATTGTGACTGACTGAGTGGATTAATGAAAGCTCTACAAAAAGAGTTTCAGGCTGCTAGGTTTGATTCTAGGTTTTGCTGTTGTATAAACTAAAGGAATATGATTAATAAGAAGATTGCAATTTTAAGCATGCTAGCTCTTCTTGACATCAGAAGAAGAATATGATCTTCAGTTTTTGCTAATTAGCCAAAATGTATGTGGTGTTCTCCTAATGCAGAAACATGTCTAATGCTCTGCTCATCTCAGGATAAATGCATACTTACCTATATGCAGAATTTGTGCAAAACTCATTAATTTCCTGTGTACTGTTAATTGGATCCTTACAAGTTAAGAAAAGCTTTGGAGGCCTTGAATTCAGTTGCTTCATATTTTTAAACTAGCAGCTATGTGAGACTCTATCTACCTTCCAAGAAAATTTATTGAGCTGTCAGAGATAATAAGCTAATATGGGGAGTATAGAGGAATTTCAAAGCTTCTAGATGTATCCTTTGACATCACTTTTATCTTTTTCTTTAAAATGTTCATTTTCTGGGGTTTTGCTTTGGGTTGCTATAGATTCTCTTTTGCCCTATAAAATTAACTGAACAGGTATGAGAGTGTTAAACGCAGGTTTTACAAAATGAAAAGTGTGATTAACCTGTTTTATGCTACTGTTTTTCCTAAGCCAATAATCCTTTGTGCCTCTGACTAATACTTCTCTCTCATCCATACATTTTTTTTCTCCCAGATGAATAGTTGTACCTTTTTATTGGCTTATGCTAGATACACATCCTTTAGTGTCACTGGGCAAGGATGATGGGCTTGCTTTTTGTTATGTTCTACTCTTTACATGTAGTGTACTCCAATGCCTAACCCATTTTGAATACTTTTCCATAACTCTGTCACTCTTTTTTTACAAACTTTTACAAGGTCAAGACTCTCAAGAACTCTGTGTCCTGTTTGTTCTGTGCTGCTCATTTTTCCAACTGTGATAATGTACAATATAACAAAAAAATGGAATAGTAGTTCAGCTAGATTATTGCTGTAAAGAAATCTAGCAGGCTTTGTTACATAGCTATCAGCCAGTGTGTGACAGCACCTTAAACAAGGGAAGATGGATGCTCAGTGAATACTGCAAGTCATTTTAAGTTAGATGTTTGTGGCACAACCAACCAGACAGTAACCCTGCAGCTAACTCATCAGCATAATTCCTTCCCTCTATGTCAGCAGGTTCCCAAGACCCCGAACAAAGGGGCTTTTCATTATGGTCTGTTCTGTGCCTGTGTGACAACCTTTCCAAACTTTGTTCACGTTTTGCATTGTTATTTTGCAGTGGCAAATGCTGATCATTGCTCGTTGTAGTGGGCAGTATAGCAAATTTGCGTGCACAGGTTAAAATATTGCTTCCTTAAACATAAATAAGGCCCTTTTTGGAATCCCTGTACTAAAAGTAAGTATTCTATCTTTTCCCAGTTTTGGATTGTCTTGTGCATTAGTGAGAATTTGTGGTGTATGAGTGTTGAGATGCAAAACTTTTATTTTTAGGGCAGATTTTACTGACTAGATTTCTCTTGTTCTCTTGTAACCTGCCACTTTGCTGTGATTTTCTTTCTCCTGAAGAATCCTTGGGCTGATAACCTTTCTTGTAGCTTAGTTTTCTAGATCTTTTTTTTCTCTTTTAGCTCAACCTCCCTTCCTTATAATCTTCCCTTTTACCCATGATTTAATGGGTTGCTTGCCTTGCTAGAACAAAGAGCAATACAAACTCTGTCTTCATAGCATGCAATATCTTATGAGAGGAACAGAATGAAGAAATTACAAAGAATGGTCCACAATAAAGTCTATTGCATTGTGGAATAAGCACAGTTTTCTAGTAAATTGGTATTAAACAGTCTTCTGGGCTTAAAGCCAGCCCTCTGTGGGGTAGGAGGAATTCCATGTTCTCTAAAAGTTTTTGGCACAGTTACGCCTTAGAGATGTGGGGTTCTTTTTGGTGTGGGGTTACAGTAGTCTAAAGGGTTACAGTTCGGACACAGTTTAGGAAGCTGTCTTTTCTTGCTTTTTAGCTGAAATCCAGTGACTGTATAAGCAGCCCATCATGGCATGCAGTCAGACAGCTTAGCTCAACCCACCCTGTTTAAGCTAACCTTTAGACTTCAGAGGGGAAGCACTATGCAGGCAGACAGCAACTGATGAAAGAGAGAAAGTGGTTTCTGCCTTCAGCAGGCTCTGTTGCTTGGCTAATCTAAGCTTTTTCTCATTTCTACTCCATTGCAAGCCACTGGCCTTTAAACTAATGTGTTTGACTTTGCTTTGTAACACCATGCATGAGCCAGCAGTAATTCAGAGTTAGAAGTCAATCTCTTGGATGTTTCTGCTTCTTCAAAGCCTGTGTTTTGACTGTAGGGAAGTGCTGCTGCTTTGCTTCCATTTGCCACAAAGCAAAACTAGTTAGCTCGAGCTATGCATTTGTGTTAGAGGAGCAGAAAAAACTTATATCCTCTTTTGGCTCAGTGTTTACTTGTGGCCAAAAAATATGAGTGTTTCAAAGTGGCCAAACTTAGAAATTAATTTTAAGGTATCTGTGAATTCTAAAAAATCTCTCACAGTTTTTTGTGACTTTATTGAAATCTTTCTTATCAGTTTTTAAAAATGAACTTAATAAGTTTCATCCTGCTTTCAGTTTTATGTTTGTTTAGAATGCATGAGAGTGCTAGATTTGTAACTCACAAAGCAAGAGATGAATTCTTGATTGCTAAATCACTTCTGATATGTAATGGCACCCAAGGCTGAGAGCGTGCTGGAGATGTGCTGCACTCAGAGGTTTGTTTAACAACTTATGTATTTTATTTTGTTAAGTTCAATTCGTAGTGTGGGATAATGCTGGAGGCTCTCTGGTGGCTTGGTGGAATAGGTCAGAGTTCTCCTCTGTATGTAGTTCTCCTCTCCGCATGTAGTTCTCCTATCAGAGAACAGTTCATCTTCTAGCTCTCTTGAGCACCCATATACTATCTTCCCAGTCCTCCCCTTCACATGTGTGGGAATGCCCATGGTGCCCATGTCATCTGTGGAATCACCTCCTGCAGCTGTATTGCAGTGCAGTAGAAGATGCACAAACGAGTTTCTTTTCATAATGAAAGGAGAAGTCTCTTGTGCTTATGACTTCCATATTTACTTTTGGAATACCTCCGATGTACCTGTATGCTGTAGCTGTAGCTAGGATGGGAGGTGCATTTGTGCTTTGTGCTAAGTTTAGAATTGCCTTGTTAAGACTTTTATTTTTAATATACTGTGAAATAAAGGAAACATTATTAGTTTTCAGCCTGCTCAACTCTTCTCAAAGATGTTGGCTGCATCTCTTGCATGTGAAGACCCTATTGTTTACTTTGAGATGTGCCATTGGAAATTCACTGTCACAGCACGTGGTCCAGTTGTGCTGCTTTCAGGACTGGAGTTCTAGCAAATCAGCAGAGCCTGACCATTGACTCACCAGCAGCCAGTGCCATCAGCTGTGTCACTAGTCTTGTGGTTATTAGCATTCATGCTGTAAGAAAATTATTAGGGTTTGGAAGAAAATTATTCGGGTTGCAGGCAGACTCAGAGCAGTACCTTCTGTCTGTTGTATTTGTCATTGTCCAGTTTGGCACAACTTTCATTATGACAGGCTGCTATGCCACTGTGCTGGAAGGATTTGCCAGATCAGAAGGGCTCAGGGTGGGGGGATAGGGAGGTTGTGACTAATGCTTGTTCTTGAAATCTTGTCTTCACCTGAGCTCCAAGTTCTGGAGATCTAGTAGCTGCTGAGTTTCTGTGCATACTGTTATCCTCTCTTAATACTTTCTTCCATTTGTCAGCTGTTAGGAACACATGTTCTGATATGTGTGGAATAGAATGGTTTGTTGTACTGCAAATCCAGCAACTAGTTTTAACTGACCTACCTTTACGATTGATGCATCTTGGATTGAGGTGGATAACCTGGTTCCTCTGCTTCTTGCACCTTGTTTCTACCGTGAAGATATTATTTTATCCAGGAAATAGTTTTCTGATGTTATCTTAAGGGGTAATTTGAGTTAGAAAGGGTTAAAGTATTTCAGCTTAAAATGAACAACCTATTGTTGTATCTGGACCTAGATGCTCTTGGCCTTCTTGGCCACCTGTGCACACTGCTGGTTCATGTTTTGGCCAAAATTTGACCAATATCCCCAGGTCTATTTCCTCTACACAGTTTTCTGCCCCAAGCTTGTAGTGTTCCCTTGGGTTGCCTTAGATCTTCTAAGATGGTTTATACAAATAAGATGTGAATGTTGTGTACGTGTGTTGATTTTTTTTTGAAGCTGAAATAACGCAGAGGTATGGCCTGTGTTTGCTTGGTGGGGGAGGGAAGGAGGTGGAGAATCAATGTAGAAAGTGTCAGATGTATTTTGTTTGCTGTTTCAAATGCTCTCCTCTGCACTTAGCCTACTGCCTTCCTTACAGACTGGAATATTTCTAAAGGAAGGAGGTGCCTGGAGAGGCACCTGATTACACAGTTACAAAGCAGAGGCACTTTCTCTTTTTTTTAGGATTCTCTGTATCCTTCCAACAGAAGCACACAACTTCCTCTTTCTCCTTCTCTGGCTGCTACTGCTGATAATAATCTTCTTAATGAATTGCAACTTTAGAAATGCTTGGTTTTGGGATGAAGCCCAAATTAGTAAGTGTTTGGTGACAGGGATATGCAGTAGATGATGGTTTGCGAAGAAAAAATTGCAGCATTTTTCTCAGTGTATCACTTCTCACAGTGTTCATCATTTTTTTTCTCCTAGAAAATTAAAGCTCCAGTGTGTTCAAGGTTGTATAAGAGGCTATTTGATCAGGGAATGCTCACAAGGATGGGCTTACAGAGTACTGACATCTTCTCCGTACTGCCTCAGGTTTTTTGCTTTCTCCTCCAGAGTTGAGATGGTTGATATACTGTATGGCTCTGCAGGATGGCTTCAACTTGCTGATGGAGCACCTATGAGATTTAGGGAGCCAGAAATCACCCTGTGGAGGGGTTGAGGTTTCCCTGTCTGCAGACTGCCTGAAATTTGCTCATCATGTCTGTGTGTGTTGTATAGGAAGGTGCTTGACCCAGCCCCTTTTCATACTGAAGCAACTCCTTTGCATATATCCAGAAGATGCAGCTGCTCTCTATTCATTCTCACACATATACAAAGTGCTTTTCCAAATAGTGGTGACCTGTAGCTCTGGACAAAATAAAAATTAAAAAAAAAATAAAAAAAATTGCACAGCATGCCAAAAATATATATATTTGTTGGATGGTTCTTAGTTCCAGGCTAATGCCAGATGTTGTTGCACTCCAATAGATTGATTCTGTATCTACTAAATGATAGTCTGTTACTATGTAAGCAATATGTATGTCAGCTTGGTCAAATATTAGGGATTTTTCCCTGTCAGAATCATATTGCCTAAACTAAATATCAAAATCAAACACATGGCTAAAAGGAAAAATTTTTAAATATTCCTGCAAAATGGTACAGATTACTTCCATCAGGGAAGGTGTTGCACCAGGAATGCTAGACATTAAGAGCTGTCTCATAAATATGACAGTTTCAGTTTCCTCAGTCAAAAAATCTGTGGTCCTTGAGGAACTTGATGTGAGCTCAGGAATAAAATATAAAACCCACTTCTTTGGTTTGTCCAAGCCAACGATCTAATGATGGATCAAGCTTTCTTCCACGCTGCTTGGGAAAACAGGGCTTGTTTTTATATTCCAAAACAAGAGAAAAGTAATTATATGTGAAAGATAATGAATGATTTCTTTCTTCTTTGCAGTGTCAATGACTTCTGTACAGCCTTCCTCTGCATCTTTGACTTGTTAGAATGTATCCATAGAACTCAGATTACAGTAAACCATTTAAAATAGCTGAAACATCAATTTAAGCAAAAACAATGCCTGTGCTTTTCTTTCTGTGGCTGTTTATCCACCGAACACTTTCAAGTCTTGATTTTTCTTTCTATCAGCAGACTTAGACTTGGTGCAGGGAAAGCACTAAGGAAGAGGGGGAAACTTTCAGGGGGTAACTTTCCAATGTGCTTTGTCCAATTATTGTTATCACACCATTTACATAAAATACAGGAGATGGTTTTTAAGTGAGATGAGAGATTGTTTTGATGCTGTTATGCAGAGAACATGAACTGTACTGCTAACACTGAGAAACAGACCACTTAATTCTGCTTTCTACTGCATCTAGCACTTGGGTTCTGCATGACTAACTGAAGCCTTCACCTGTTGAAATAGATGTCTTCTCCCAGTCTTCTGTAATATCAAGACATAAAGGTTCAAACCTAACAATATTGTTTTAAAAAAATTCCCCAGCTCATACTCAAGAGGTGTTTTTTTGGTTGTTTTTTTTTTTTTCATGATGTGTATCTTGTCTCCACGTTAAATCTTGTGCTAAAGACTGAAGTCTATGTTAGAGTCGGAAGATTAAATCCAGTGCTTGCAGCTGTTTTACATTTTCTCTTCCTATTTTCTCTGCCAATGCAGTGCACATATATTGAGATTGAGCAGGTGCCAAAGACTCATGCTGTTGTGCTGAGCAGGCCTTCCTGGCTTTGGGGAGCAGAAATGGGAGCCAATGAGCATGGAGTCTGTATAGCTAATGAAGCTGTCGTGACCAGAGAACCAGCTTCTGAATCTGAAGCCTTGCTTGGAATGGATCTTGTCAGGTGGGTGGCTTGCTGAGCTGTGAACATCTTTTTAAAGGCCAAACATTTAGTTGATGAGAATGGGTAATGGCTTTAGTGGTGTTGGTGTTAGAAGATTTTAAAACAAAAGGCACCAGAAGCTTTAAAGCACTTGGAATCTGAAGTTGGCTACTGTTTATGTGCTACTTGTGCCTAATATGAGTTTACTGAACCTACCCTGTCTACCTACTATACAGTCTAGTGACTATTTCTTTACATTGTTAGTTAGGAACTCCTAATTTGTAGCATCAGATTGCTGATGCACCCTTCATTCTCCACTGCTTTAGAACAGCTTACTCTGACCTAAAAAGCTTATCCTGGGCTTGTAGCCAACTGTAGGCATAAACAAACTACTATGCTGCACTTCAGCCCATGCATTCCAACACAAACCATTGCCCTTTTTTTAAATTCTGGCAAACAAAACTCCATGGAAGTCTGTTCATTGAAGGCTGTCTGCCTGGAACACTTGTGCTGCATTGCGTGTCTCAGTCTGCATGCTGATGCTACAGTGAAGAGAATTTAAAGAAGAGTTACGTGGAGGAAGAAAGCTGAAAACGAAAGGACAAGAGAATATGGTGCAAATCCATCACAAAGAAAGGAGAGCGAATATTCAATTTAATTAAAAGATAACACAGGACAACTGCTAGTTATGTAAGCAAATCAATTTCAGATTGTGATCCAGTGATCCTGCTGAAATTTTTACTCGGATACCTAATGAGCAGGCTGAACCAATTTCAAGAGCATACTTGATCTAGTGAAAGATAGGAGAGATTCTGGATAGCTGGAAAAGGTTAAATGTTGTGGTGTACCTAAAAGCATTGAGAAGAGCTGTGGGAATAGACCAACATAACTCAAGGGAGAAAAGGCAATTAAATATCAAGGAGATGACAAATGTTCAGTACTGACTTTTAGTCATGAAGAATCCTGTCAAACGCTTTGTTTGCCCCTGTAATGAGTCAACAAGTTTTAATGCTAAGGAGTAGGAAATAGATACTTTGACTTTCACAAGGTCATTAAAACCTTGGAAGGTATTCTCATAAGTAAGCTGGGAATTGTAGTCATGGGAAATTGCTGTAAGATGTACAGTGCCTGACACTGTAGATGTTCTGACCCTAATGTCTCTGCAGAAATACAGTATTGGGTTCCAGCTGTCACAGTCAAGAATAATGTGAGCGAGCTGGAGGGCAGACAATGAAAATTGGGAAATATGATCTAGAGAATCTGATCAATGGGAAGTTCATGCGGGGACTGGTGTTACTTTCCTCTTTGGTACTTTTTCTAATTCTGGTGTTGCTGAAGGAATCTACAGAGAAGCTGTACATAGGAGAGCTTGTGAGTTTGATTGCATTAAGGGAAATAAAATAGACTGGGGAGCTTTTTTAAGAAGAAGTAGGACAAGCTTTTATCAAGATGAGGGATGTGGTAGGTGATTTTCCAAGGTCCACCTTTATTTTACCCCTCCTACTATCATTCTCCAATTTTAATAAACCGTTGTTTTAGGTGCACAGTTATGTTTTTTTTGTTTGTTTTGTTTTGTTATTGTTGTTGTTTGAGGTTATTGCATTCTCGAAATACTGTTTAACATTGAAGTATATATGTTATCCAGTAGCTCTAGATTTATTGACACTAAAATATTAGGAGATACCAAAATATGGAGAAATGACACAGCCTACCAGTGGTCACCACCTGGAGATATTACTCTCCCTCTCTTCCTTCTTATCTGCAGAGGAAATTGTTTGTAGCTGTAAGGCAGAGAGCATCTGAGGTAAAGAGAGGTAGGGATTTTGCAGTCTACCATCTGTCTCTTGTTGCAGCCGGAGTGGTTCTTTCTTACTGCAAAGACTTGGCTGGTAGCATTAAGCTTAACTGTTTTGGATGATCTCATAGAATAAAGAGAGCCATCAAATGCAAAATCAATCATATAGGCTGCAATGAAGCAGCTGGCACCAGCTCTTCCTCTTGGTACCCATCTGCAAAAATGGTTATCTCTGTCACTCAGGATTTATTGGAATGAAAATTAGAGGAGGAATTTTAAGCTCAATTAAGAAATGCACACGTCTGCTAGTCCTCTCCCCTGCCCTTCCCTCTCAATGGAAACCCTATTGGATATCTGTGAAGTTGCACTTCATGGAGTTCTTAGCTTGTTTAGTGCGTGGCTGCTTATATAATAGCCAAAAAAATATTTCCTCACATATGGCAGCATAGTAGGTTTAAGACATATCTGCAGATTTTTGTCTTGATAGCATATGACAGAGCAGCAGATCAGAACATCAGAATGATTCTTAAGAAGGGGTGGTGTTTGTGCAGTTGATCTGGGGCTTAGAGGTCGGTTGTTAACACAGGCCTATCCCCATCCCAGTTTTATCTAAGTGAAAGACGTAATGGTAGTTTTGACAGATGGAAATATTGGGAGAAAACTGATTCCAGCATAACTTCTGAAGAGATAGAGTAAATGAGAATAGAAATTGAAAAGCTTAAGATAATTTTTGATAATCTTATGGTTTTTCAGAATAGCACTGAGGCAGTAGGCTGTATTAAGTCACAGAAAATTTCTTAATGGATAATTCAAGCTGTCCAATCTCAGTGCAAAATTACGTTAAGCTTTTCTCACAATGTCCCTTAACAAGTGCTCTGAAATGTGTTAGTGAGAAGGTTATGCTAAGTTATGCTAGAGTCAGCCAGCAAGTTGATGCCAAGATAAGTGGCAAGACCAATGTTTTTGTAGAGATGTGTGGTTGCTGTGTTGCTTTTTGTTTTTTATTTTCCCTGTCCCTTGCAACTGACAAATAGGAGCACACAAACAAAAGCAGAGCCTAAGCCTTAGTAAAGTGGAAGTAAATGTAATATTGAAGCTATTTGCCATACAGTGATCTAAAAGAGATTTCTATAGCCTAAATCTCTGCTGGAGTTTTTGAAGAGAAAGCTTGATTAACCATCTCAGAGAGAAAATTGCAGGGAGAAGTAAAACGTTTAGTGTGATCTTGTGTCTCTTGCCAGGTTTTGATCTAATTATAACCTAATGCTTTTGATCATAAGACGAGGAGAGGAGAATAGATTATTGTTGAACTGGGTGACTATATGGCCATCAAAGTAGTAGTTATCAATCCATTAATTTACATGGACCAAGGAAAGTTTGTGGAGTTGTTCTTAGAAAATAAGTAAGACTTGCTTTTGGGCTGTTTTTTAGTAGATGATGTATATAGTGTATGGTGACGAGTGAGGAAAAGAATGAAGGAGTAATACAAATGCATAGAGACTGAAAATAGAGACAACAACGCAAAATGAATTTCAGCTAATATGACGAACAAAATGAGAGGGATATAAATATGAAGTCAAAGGATGATAGGGGAGGAATCGTCAGTTTTAAAGCCAGTATCTAAAATTTTAGTAGGCTCTCATTTGTCACCAAGTAAATGCTGCTGAAAGAGATGAAATTGTTGCTTTCAATAACTGAGACTAAAACAAGGCTAACAGTAGACTATGCACAAATGCCTCTGTCCTGTGTGTAATAAACATCAAAAGATAACATACACTTAGCTTCCATGGCTGATTAAAAATTTGTGCATTCAGGAAGAGAGGTTGCAGGCAGGTAAAACTGATTACAGACTCTTATCTCCTGTAATAATCACTTCTAATTTTTCCACTGTTCTGTACAGAGCAGAGCAAACTTGTATATAGCTGTTACATTAAAAAGGCCATTTAAAATTATTCTTCATTACATTCTGTCTGAGTGGGATAGAGTATTGAAAGGTTACAGGGCTTATAGTGCAGCTAAGGTCGTTGGTTGGTGGTTTGAATTCTTTGGCTAGCTCTGATACTGAAAATAAAGACAGCAGAGAAGAAAATAAAAGCTTGAAGCAATATGTATTTTGTCTTACAGTTCTAGTAACTCATTAAAGTGAGAACTCTTACACCAGGCAGACTTGGCACTTCTGTGTTTTAATACCAGATCAGTGCTGCTGTTCAAAATGAATAACTTAGACATCTCACTGTTATACATCTGCTTGAAAATGTTTTGCTCTTTTCATACAGACTTGGCCTAGAAAGAGGTTCAACAGCCAAGGAAGCATTGGATGTAATAGTTGCTTTGTTGGAAGAGCATGGGCAAGGAGGAAATTACTATGAAGATGCAAGTTCATGCCATGCTTTCCAAAGTGCATTTTTGATTGTGGACAGAAATGAAGCCTGGGTACTGGAGACATCTGGAAAGTACTGGGCAGCTGAAAAAATCACAGGTCAGTTCATCACTCACAGCAAGCCTAGTTCATAATAAATGTTTATTATTGTTTTGGAAGAATTGTCTTAAAGTATCTGATTTTAAGTAACTAATTTATGCAAGTGTTCAATGAAACGATCAGTTTTAATCTTGTTTTTATATACATATTTATACTACTTTCAGCTTTTAAGCATTGATTTACATTGGTTAATGTAACGGCATTTTCTGTCAGGTTGGAGAATATGTTGCCTGTATCCAAAAGCTTTATAATCATTATGTTTACACTTTTATGTTTGATAAGTGTTGTGCTTTCCCAGATTTATTTACTGCTTGGAATGTGTCAAGAATCTTTTCACTGTAGTTAATGTAGAAATTATTGCTTACTAATCTGAAATATTAAGAGGCTAGGATAAGCATTAGTAGCTTGAGAAAAGGGCTTACGTGTAGGTGGTTGTCTTAATTTCAGGTGGGACAGAATTGTTTTCCTCAGTGTTTGGTATGATGCTATGTTTTGGTTCTCAGAGAAAAACAATGTTGATAACACACTGATGTTTATAGTTGCTGCTAAGTAGCATTGTACAGAGCCAAGGCCATTCCATTCACAGCGAAGGACCCTAGGAAATGGGATTGAACAGAATTAGGATAGCTGACTTAAACTGACTGAAGAGATATTCCATACCATATGACATCATGCAGAAGGAGTTCTGAAGGGGAACTGGGCTCTCTTCCACCTCTCAGGGTCTAGCTGGGCAATGGTTGGCAGGTGACGAGCAATTCTTTGTGCATCACTTGTTAGGTACATTTATACATATATATGTATATATATATGTGTGTATATATATATAATAATTATTTTCCTTTTTCTTCTCTCTATCTTAGTAAATAGTTTTATCTCAGCCCATAAGTTGTACTTAGCTTTTTTGATTATCTCCCCCATTCCACTGGGAGGGGGCAGAATGAGTGAATGGCTGTGTGGTTATGAGCCACCTGCTGGGCTAAAGCACAACAGTGGTAAATGGAATGGTCTGCTTCTGTTTGCTTTACTGCAATAGATATAGGCCCCTCATATTCCCATTTCTTACCTAACAGTGCAGGATAAAGGATTTCTTTTTTTTTCTCTTTAATAGATCACTTGTTTTTCTCTGTGTGTGAAGCCAGACCTTCCAAAGTGACTTCTAAATTTCATTAATTTTGTGGCTGCACTTACTTAAAACTCTGTGGAATATATGTGCTGCTGTAAGATTGTCTAAGGCATATATTTTTTGTGATCTGGTTTATCGTTCTTAGTATTGAAGGGATTTCTATTTTTGTAAGAGAAGAACTTTATAAAAATTACACATACATTTGAACGAATTAAAAAAAATTACTAGACAACCATCTTCTATTGACCTGCCTGGCTGCTGTTTGAAGTGTTTTTCACTTAACCTTTTTAGCTACATTAGCAGTATATAACCTTCGTGTGCTACTTCCCAGCAAGTAAACTGTTGACTTCATCTGCAGCTTGTATCTTTTTGAAGTGATACTGCAACTCTGTTCTCACTTTTACCAGCACATTTCTCTTCCAGGGGTCCTTGTGAGCAGCAGATTAAATTGACTAGTTTCCATCTCCTTCCTGTAGCCTGCTGTGGCTGACAGGATGAAAGTGGATGGCTGCTGGCTATTGAAGAACTGTGTATTTCATACTTGTTCAGGAGGATCTTTTCTGCAGCCATATTTATGCCTTGAAAAATGAATGTGTGGATGCTGTTAAAACAGGGAAAATGTGTCATTTCTCAGCAGTGGGAAGAGAACTCTCAGAATTATTCTTTTCTCATTGCTGTAGTTCTGTAAAGCTTATAGTACATGTTTACAAGCAACTTTTTGACAGTAATTCAAGGATAAACATTTTAAAATTCATCCTGTTGCTATTCTTCAGTCTGAATGGATAAATTAATCTGCATGATAAACTTGTCCCCTTCAAGGGGATCAAAACCATGAAATGCTATTTCACATCAGTTACTAAGTGTAATAATTAAAGACTTTTTAATGAGTAGCTTGGCTAGCTTGATGTGAGCTCAAACATTTTTATCACCGAAGTCAAGCCAGTTCTCTGAAAGGCATGCTGCTTGAAAGCACGAGCACACTGTCAGAGAGCAAGTACAAACCAGAGCTCAATGGCAGTAACTTTCCCAGACTTACACACGTAACTTTCCACTGTAGTTCTTCCTGATTATTTAAATAGAACGTATGTGACATTAGAAAGGTGAGCTTACTTTTGTGAAGGCAATATTAATTAATAACTTTTAGAAATACTGCTTTGGTTTCTGTTTAAGAAAAGTTTGTGCCAAATTCCAGAATCTGATTTATTTTAGTTGACGGATTTGCTTTATCAGCTTTTCCTTTGGCTTCCTATGCATTTACTTTATCCTTTCCAAGGCATATCTGCAGCTGGCACTGTTTGTTAGTCATGCTGTAGATATATGGGTATGAGCACTGCAGTATTTTTGAGGAAAGCAGTTAAGAAAAAAAACAACAAACACTTCAATATTCTTTGAAGGTTGTTTATGCTGCCATTTCATTTCATGGCATTTTAAAATTTAACATTAAAAATGAATTCTTTAACTTCAGCCTATCTTTTGCTGCTTACAATAAAATTATTTTTCAAGTGGGAAGCTTAAAGCAATCAATTAAAATATTTTCCAAATTATGTTTTCAGTTTTAGGGTAGGAGACAAAGAGCATTTATTAATCTAAATGAAGCTTGACCGACATATATTTTTTGAATCAAATTAGACCTCAAGTCTTGTTGCAGCTGTCTTACTGGACAGAAAAATAAGGCTGGCATCTTGTCAGTGTTAAGGTATGCCTTGTGGCATTTGGAGACATCTTTCACTTTATGATCATGTATGTGAAGTTCAGAGGTACTGTGAAACTGCTGTCCGACTGAAAAGCACTATTAATCATGGGGCAGTGTAAATATCTACATAGGGCAGAGAGAACTGAGCTTTGCAACTTGCAGTGAATGGTAACTGCATGTGTAATTATGCAGTTATGTTAAACGTACATCCTGATCGATGCTTTCGTTTCTTTCCTAATTGCAATTACTTTGTCCTTCTAGCAACTCCCATAAGAACTGCATTAATACTCTTGTAATATGTGGCTCTTTCTGTAGAGGGGGTGAAGTGCATTTGCAATCAGCTTTCACTAACTACAAAAATTGATGCTGAGCATCCTGAACTAAGGGATTACGTGAGAAGTCAAGGCTGGTGGAATGGAGACACAGACTTCAATTTTTCTGAAGTGCTTTCTCTCGGTGATGGGCATTTAGCCTGTTGTTCTGGCAGGGAGAGCTTGGAAAAGCAAAGTGGTAAGTGTTGAACTGGGTTTGGTTTTTTTTTTGTTTTTTTTTTTTTTTTTTTGCATATACAGCAGGATTTTTTTCACTACTGCTTACTTTCCGTCATCTGCCAGAACTGCAGGTGACTGAATGTAAACCATGTGGAAAGGAACACCAGAACTGAAGGCTATTCTTAAACTTGCCTCAGTTTAGAATGAAGTCCTTAGTGTTCCTCACAATTTTGTTTTAAGAGAGGGCTGAAATTACAAAATAGTTTGCTTTGCTCTTGTTCTACTGTGCACGATACGCTTTGTTGCAAATACAGTGGCCCTCTTTTATTTTTTTTTAATACTGTATTTATAGTATTAGTCTCTTGTATGAAAGTTTGATCTCAAAGAATGTTGTGTTTGGAATATTTAGGATTTTGGGGTAGGAATTCAGAACGCAGTTTAAGGAAGATAAATGCTATTTAGTTGTGAACTGAAGTTCCTTTTCCACTGTTGAGTGGAACTAAGCTGCCAGGACAGACGATGTGCCAATTGCTTTCAGTCAGATAAAGAGTTTATTTCCAGACTGAAGTTAATGACTGCAGCTGGCCAAAGTAGCTAGAATATGATCAGCCTGTAGCAGTGCAAAGCTGACAGGTATTTGCTTTTTAATGTATGAAAAGTGGTACAGATAAACTTTTTATGAAGATTCCTTTAGTAAGGGTGTGAGTTTACAATATTTTTAGCATTTTCATATATTGACAAATGTCAAGAATTGTGTAGAGATGAAATGCTTATTGCAGCGTAGGCTCCTGCTAACATTATAGAATTACTTGAAGCATAGCTTGCATGTGAGAGGCAAATAAAACAAGTGTGAAGGATCATAGATGAAAGGGATTAATAAACCCAGATAATAGTTCTGAGGATCTTGATGGACAGATGGCCATGGTTGCAAATCTTGCAGCCTTACTAAGCTATCCCATGTCTCCTTGTGGATTGAAGCACTCAAATGCATAAGGGTGAGGCTTGGGAAGTTGCTGTATAAAGAAGCCCTGCTGGCTTCTAGTGCAAAATAGCATGGAGGTGCCATGGGTAAAAAGCTGTGATAAGGCATGTGCAGGAAATAACATGAGAATAGGAGTTTCTTGCAGGTTTGGATAAAAATCTCTGTGTCTAGGCTAGACCTAATGAATGTAAGATGATTGCTCCAAAATTTGACTGAGAACTAAAGGAAATTGATAAGAAGTGGAAAATTAGGATGTTACTATTCTGTCTGAACTTGGACAGGGGTAGCTTCTTAAAGGAAAATTAGGTGTTTCATGCAAGTAATCTTTTCACAGTGATTGCTGAGGCAGTATTACAGACAGGGTAGCTACCTGAAAAAAACCTTTTATATGAGATTTCTCCCTACATAGTAATTGTAATGCCTAATTAATGCTTCCTGCTGTTCTCTTTTACTGATAGGTAAGCTCATTCTGGGTTTACATTGTTAAACTGTTAAGTGGGATTTGGTCATACTGAGTGTCACTGGACAAACTAATTCAAACACCATTCAGACTAAAATCTTTCCATGGGGTCCAAGCCACTGAACACTCAGGAATTTTTTTTCCCCTCATATAGGTGGTGTTTCTGCACAAACTATGATTGATGTCCTGCGTGACAAGGATAGTGGTGTCTGTGTGGACTCTGAATCGTTCCTTACTACAGCTAGCATAGTGTCTGCTCTGCCTCAGGACCCTAGTTTTCCCTGTGTTCATTACTTCACTGGCACGCCAGACCCTTCAAGGTAAGCTACAGCATTGGGAGTCCTCTGGATGCAGAGCAGATGATGGTTTGAAGGATATTAAAGAAGCTTTGTTTTCAGAATTGGAATTGAATAGAGAAGTGTCTGTCTTCCATCCTGTCCTGTGGTTTTTTTGTGGGTTTGTTGTTGTTGTTTTTTTTGTTTTGTTTTTTTTTTCCAGAGACATTTTTAGCCAATAAGATTTCCAAAATGGAAAGCTGAGTGAAACCGTAGGGTTGTTCTGAACACTAGCAGAACCCAAAATTACAGTGACACAAAGTCAGCTTTCAAAATAACTGTCAATTCCTAGTAGCTATTAGGAAGGTACATTTTATTGCGCTTCCTTTCATGAGAAAGTCAATGCAGAGTTATTTCCTTCACTTACAGAACAGGTGAGATGTTTGCTGCCTTTTCTGTATTAGCAGAGCTTCCATTGACTGGAACATTTCCTGCTGCTAAAGGGGCTCTTTCCTGTCTTCCCTACCAGTCATCTGAGGTTGGAAGAGGAAGGGATGTAATGAGAGGAGCACCGGGTCAAGAGATGATAACAGAGAGGCTAATAACACAACTTCCAGGCTAGGCAGGCAGGATTGGAAAGATATTGCAGTGTTACATCTCAGCTTGGACTGCACACAACTGGGACCGATGAATGCTCTCTAGGGACACAGATTTTTTTTGTGGAGGATGTTGAAAGATGAGCTATTATTATATAGCCTTCAATTAACAGAGTCTGTAGGGGACTCTTCAATTTTAAAGCCTTCCTTGTGAAGACGAAGAGAAACATCCCTATACCAGACTGCAGCATGATACTTCTTTCTCTGGCTGTTCTTTCTGTTTCAAAAGAAATTATTTGTGAATAGACCTGTGCATTATTTCACATTGAAAGATTTCTAGGATGGGAGGAGGGAAGAAGTAGTAAGTATTTATGGATAGCAGCTATTAGGAACCATGAGCAGCCTTCTGACAAGACAGAATTGCAGTGAATTAATTCCTCTCAAATCCTCTCAAACACCCTGCCCATCACCTACTATATTCTCATTCTGGTTTCTGGTCAGATTTTGGAATTTATTGATAAAGCTTTTCTGAACATAGAATAAAAAGAAATTTTGAGTAGAGAGTGAAAAATAAAAGGTTTGGTGCATTTCACCCTGTTAGCCTATAGATAACTTTGCACGTGAATTGATATTTCAGCTTGTTTAGTGGGCTGGCTTTGGTGATCAGATCAGATATGCGGTGGAAGCAAGGCCTTTTAGAATGACATCTTCATTATTAAACAGATCCAAGAAAAGAATTTTTTTTCCTCAAGGTATTGATGAGCATCTAAATTACTTCATGTTTATAAACATAAATATAAACATAGTTTATAAAGCAATTAGTTTTTCTAGACTTCAAGGTGTTTCATTCTTAAAGTGAAATGAAAATAACCCGGGCGGTAATTCTGAGTTAGAATTACTTATTTTCTGGTTAATTAATTGTACTTAACTTTTCTTCTTTTGTCAGTTTTGTCAGCATGAAGGCAGTAATACATGTAGAAAGAAAATAATAATGAAAGCTTAGTGTGCAAATAAACTCAAGCACAAGAAACAGACATCTAAGTACAGAATGCTCTTGGATTAATGTGACACTTCAATTAGCCATTTTTGACAGGCCCTTGTTAGAGGGAAGAGATGGATGTCCTTGGAAAGCCTTTAATTTGTATCTGACCTACAGACCAGCCAGTTAGGTCTCTGTGAAAAGGGTGTATTTGTGCCATCAAGTTAAAATCTGAAAATTTCATTATCTGAAAACGAGACAGCACTTTGTTAACAGCTGTTTTTCAAGTCACTTTTTGGTCACTAGGCTGTAAGTGCACCATAGTTACAGCGCTGTTTAGGAATGTTACTGTTTAAAAAGGCAATGCATATCTTCACATACACTTTCTAATGAATACACTGCATGATGTTTGTATTATAGTATATGCAAATGCTTCAAGAGCATGTTCTGACCAGAAATACGATCAGTAGTCAGTCATGTCTGACAGTCCTGTGTTACTGAACTACATCTCGTTGCAAGTTTAAATGGACCCCTGCGTTAAAAGACTGGGTTTGCAGTGGTTACTAGCCAGCTGGATTCTTGTTGAGACAGGAGGTTTGTGGGCCATTTATTGACTCTCTTGAACACATAGGTACTTTTTTCAGTTTTAAACCTAAATAGTGAAGATGGGAGTTTTTGAGATGGTATTGCATGGCATCAAAAGTGAACAGAACATACACAGCACTCGCAAGCTGCTCCCATAAAGTTGCTCCCACATATCTTCCTTATTGGAGGCTGGATTTCCATTGCTTTAACAATGTCTTTTCTAGTTGGATGCACCTGAGAATACAAGGGAACTCGTGGGCTAGATCATTAGAGAAATAATTTATCTTCGGTTATAAACAGAATTCGCCTGGGAATCACAGATATTAAGCTGCATCACTTCAGTTATTCAGAGATTTGCCTCTTGCATTGAGGTAAAGAAGCTATAGGGAGAAATAAATGAAAATGTTGTCCTCGAACAGATGATGGTTGTTCCTGTAAGAGTGGTTAAGCATTATTGTGCTACCAAGTGCTACAGAAATCATCCATGCCAAAGGCACTTTCCATCCACCTTGCATTATGCAACTCAGATGCTAACGTTTAAGAAAATAAATTTAAGCTTGCTTACCAAAACTTTTATTTGACTTGATGCAAATTATTTGGGATTAAAATGAGCAAGGCTTCAAACAGTTTTGATGAGATTTCTTTATTTTGTAAAGAATGAGAGTCTGGCTGTTTAAAAACAAACAAAGAAAAAAACAGTTTAGAGGCCTTTCTTGCTTTCATTTATGCTCCAATGCATTTAAAAAGTGCATTATTTTAACTGTAGGTACTGAGTCAGGCCTCATGACAGTGATGGATAGAGTTGCAGCAATGAACCTGCTGAGTGCATGCAGGCAGCACTATCAGCATTTTTGCATGTCTTGCACTTCTTGCAGCTTCTCTGCAGAATGCAGGATGCTGTTTTGATGTGCATCTAAAGGGAAGGCAGTTTCTCCATGCACGTGAGAATACATTCTCCTCCCAGATTCTCAGGAATTAAGATCCTATTTCTTTTATTTCTCCTCTCCCTGAAGTCAGATCCAAATTAAGCGTTGAAATTGCTTATGATGTGTCACAGTATGGGTAGCCATGTCTTTTTTTTTTTTCCTCCTCACATAAAATTCACCAGTACTGCTGGTCATATGCCAAGTCCTCTGATATTGAACAAGCTGTGTAATTGTCCATGCTACACGTAGACACAAATCACACACACATCTGCATTTGTGTGATTTTAATGGAAATACTGTGTGGGGAGATGAGAGATGGCAGTGTGAACAGAGGAGAACAAGCTGATGTGGAACTGAATGCTGAGATTTTTTTTAACAACTCAATACTACTTTTCTTAAGTAACAACAGAATTGGTGAGAAGGAGACCAGTGAAAGCTGTAGGTAAACCCAGCGAATGAAGTCTTGCAATAATTGGCAAAATTTGCTTTTATTAAAGCATGGAGATTTATTTTGCTTCTGAACTGTGCTGACTCTCTAACCTAGTTTGTGGATGGTGTAGGTGAATTATCTATGCTGTGCCTGGCAAACATTTGAATGATGTATATAAAATCTGTCTGACTGCTGCAAGCAGTAACTCTCATTTCTTTCAGGTCCGTGTTTAAGCCTTTTATTTTTGTTGACGATGTAAAATTAGTACCAAAAGTGCAGTCCCCTTCTTTTGGAGATGATGATCCTGCTAAAAAGATACCTCGATTCCAGGAGAAACCCGATCGCAGGCACGAATTGTACAAGGCACATGAATGGGCCCGGTCTCTCCTTGAGAGTGATCAGGTAAGAGCTGTGGGACCTGGGAACTGTTATAATCTTGTATAGATTTCCTTAAAGCTATCTGTTGATGACTTTGAGTTAGAGCACCATACAAGGTTTATGCTCCACTCTCATCCTTTCTTGAAAACATTCAAGTCTGAATTTAAAATCCTAGCTATCTTTGTATTGTATAGTGGTGTCTAGGTATATAGAGAGAGGGAAGAAAACAGTGGGATCACCAGGGCCTCCCAGTCATGGTGGTATTGGTATTTCAGGCAGTTTGTGCAGACCTGCAATGTCATGCTGTACTTTCACAGAGGACTTGCTTTTCTGCAGTTTTCCTCAGGTCAGAGTCTTGCTAAGATCATTACAGCATTCAAACTTGCTCATTAGGGATTAAGGTACCTATGGTAACCTCTGCTAGTACAAACTATTTAAATGCAGTTTTGGCTAGGTGTGGTTTTAATCCCTTGGAATGGTTTAGTTAAAAGCTGTGGCCTCTGTGGTAACACTGACTCAGTATACTGCTGCTTTCCATAACATTCATTGAAGTCTGTTCTGTGAGATGCTGATTTAGTGAAGATTTAGAAGCAGCGCATTAGTAAGTTTTTATTAAAATAAGAAGTCCCACAGTGTGGCACCAAACGTTCCATTAAGAAGAAAATGAACTTTTAGCCACATTCATGGTAAAATAACTGACTACCTGAAAGCTTAAAGCTTAGCTTAGGTGCACTGTTTTTCTGTACAAATGGCAGTATAAATCCTGGAAACCCTCACTCATGCTAAGCCATTTTTGTTTCTGGAATTCAATTTTGAAAGCTGCAAGCAAAAACAAATGGCATGCTTCCATTAAGTATAAATCAATGAATAAGAGACTTTAAGCAACATCTGGATAAAACAAAATGACACCATTAGGAGTGAATTTTCTGCCAAGAAACATGTAGAGAAGTAACCCAGAATGATGCAAGCAGCCTGGACTCTCACTGCTGTTACGTTGTGCATCATTTCAGATGTAGCCATTGTCTTGCAGGTGATGATGTGGGGGATAAACAGTCATCTGTATAATGCTCAGGGTTTCTAATCTTCTCATACAGATTTGTTCACTGGTTTTCAGGCATAAGAAGCTGCTTTACATCTTTCTCACACAATATACCTTTTTCCTCTATCTATCTTTCACTTCATCTACCTGCTATGCTTTAAACTTAGCAACTGTTTTTTGGTTATTACTCATAAAACATCAAGTATCCAGCACTGTTCCTTTTAGCCTATGACCATCCAAAAAAGCTATTAATAGAAATAGTGTATATTTTAATCAGGCTTTCTTATTTTGAAAGGTACTTGAAAAGATCTCTGCAGCAGAAGAGAATGGGTAATACTTGAATGAGCTGGTTTACTGCTTAATTCAGTTTGGTCATTTTATGCTTTTAGGAGAAGGGCCAGAAACTGATGAGCATTATGTTAGACCTTGAGAAGCAAGGCTTAGAAGCAATGGAAGATATCCTTACTCGTACCGAGATTCTGGATCCTGCTGAAGTAGTAGATCTTTTCTATGACTGTGTTGACACAGAACTAAAGTTCTTCAAATGAAGTAAGCAAGCACTTTAATTCTTTAGATACTGGTACCAGCTGTCAGTGAATGTGAAATGTTGGATCCAATTCTGACCATCCTCTTTCACGTGAAGTTGAGTTTCAAAATCAGGTCCAAAGCTACCTTTCCACTTCAGTGCATCTAGTTGTCTCAAAATTGACTCTTTGCTCTGTATTGAAGTGCAAGCATTTATATTTATATTTACATTTTTCTCAGTTTCCCTGTTGCTTGGAATGGATTTTAAACCAATTTTATCTCGTTTCAGCTACAGTGGCTACTGTTAGCCTTTTCACAGGAAGACTGCAAAGTTCTTCAAGCCTTGAAAGAAAGTCTTCACACTTATGAATTTGCAGGAAAGACATTTCTAGAGGGAAAAAAATGTTACCTGCTAGCTATATCTGGTTAACAAATTGCTTTCCTTTGTCCAATCTTGTGGTGTTCCTGTTTGTGTATGTATATAGTGAAAGGAGAAAATCACTGACTGGTCCGATTACTGTGTGCATGCTGGCTAATTTAGTACAGAATGTCTAAAAATGTATGCTGGGCAACAAATTAAAGCAAAGATTAACTTCATCAGGATAACTACCATACTGTCATTGAAAGCAATCTGTTTTTTTTTTCTCTGATGCTCAGGTCTAGGCTTGCAGCAAAGCTGCCTTGCATTTTTGTCTTTTTGCTAATTCATGCAAAGAATAATAGAGTTGAAATCCCAGTTTTGAGGGGGCAGGAAGGTAAGTCCTGTTTCTTGGCCTTGTTGTACCAGTCTCATTTTGGCAGATCTGGTTACAGTGACTTAGCATCTCACATTATGCCTGCACAAATGGTCAGAATTAGGTCCCCCAGGATAAGTTTTGTCTTCATCTGCTACCTTGGTGTTTGTAATGCACCTGGCTAATACCCTAGTGCTGAGTACTGCAGTGCAGCCAGGCTGAATGCCAAAGACATCTGAACATACCTTGTTGACTCTTTAAGACAGTTAATAAAACAATGTACTTATATACAAGCTATAAATTTGGAATATTTTGAGGGAATAGATGCTGGACATTCATCATAACTATTTTCCCTCCAGGCCTTTGTAATGCTGAACAGTTACTGGTGATGTCAGTGATGTACATACATGGCTGATGAATCCAGTAAGTACCAGTGGGTTACTACTGGTGGGTCTGACTAAGCTTAGAAATGGTTGTGTTATGCTTCTTTATATGATAGACCTTGCTTTTTGTGTATTTTCTTCTGGAAGTCAGATGAGGGGAATACTTTTACGAATTAAACTAGTAAACACTGCTTTCCATGTCATATTAAAACAGCTGTTTTAACAGGAGAGATAGACAAGAAGACATTTTTAATAAATGGACATTAGCATTTGGAGATATAATCCTTCATTGTTCAGGGAAGGGATAGTGATGAATCGCAGACTTTTGTATTGAGGAAATGAAAGCTACTTAGAAGGCAGCAGTACCACTGGCTTGTCAGATTTTTAACTTTTTTTAATGAATTTGTTCCATCAGCCTTGTTACCTTGATATTGCCTTATACAACAGATGAGAATTGGAAAAGAAAACATTGGATTTCCATATATAGAACGTAAACATGAAAATGTGTTCTCTTAGGCCTACCTAATCACCTTCCTATTCACACTGTATTCCTCTGAGAGGCTCTGCCATGGGAACAGCTCTACCCGGATAGATCTTTCTCCTTTATTTCAGCTCCTGTGCCCTGGTATTATAAAAATGATAAAGGGCATAAAGGGGAACGAAGAAAGAGCCAAGTAAGCCTAAAATTTAACTTCTCTCTTCCTGGCCAGAATAGTGACAGCAAGAAGCACGCTTCATTCTCTCCTATCAAAATAGACTTAACACTCACCAACTGAACTTCAAAGCTGCTTCTACAGCTGTTGCTTGCAGAGCACTGTGTCCTGAAAGGTAAAGTTGGATATTGGTGAAGAAGGGGAGACTAGCGATAAAATGCTTGTCCCAGCTAGAGGGCAGAGAGGCAAGATAGTGTTCCTGCTAAAAAAGAAGTGATACATATTTGCCCTTTTGAAGGATCACACATCTGCAATTATCCTGTGGGAAACTACTTACTGCAAATTGTTTTTATGACAGAACTCATCATTTTGAGCACAGTGATCTAGGCAGTGTTTGTAATAGCTGAAGCAAAAGGAAGATAGGTAGTGAATTACAAACAAACAAGTGTCTACAGTGCTTGGTTACAGTCACTTAGAGAAAACTAAACCACCTTCCAGTGGTCCTGAGCGCAAACATGGCCTAGAACAGTACAAGGGCATAGTGGTGCTGGCCTGAGTCATTCTTTGTATCCAAGTGCTAGGAATTACTGAAGTGTTAATAGATCTTGAACAACAAGGATTTAATATGTATTAAATAACACTGCACCACCACTTAAAAATATGTGCAAGCTTTTCAGTTTAATTTCTATAAGATGTATCTTTTATAAAACACTCCTAATCATAATAAAAACAGGAATAACATTGGTCTTCCATTAGATATTTTATGGCATGTGATCTGAACTATATATAGCTTTCAAATATTTATGAAGATACTTATTGCAGAGTTGAACACGAGTTCCAAAACATGAAAATCAGCAGTACATCAATTTTTAATAATAATAGAGCAAAATATTCTTTAATACAGTATTGAACTTATTTTCCAGTTGTTTGAGAAGCAGTGCTGACCCCTGCTTATTACTACATCCATGCATATTTATTAGTAACTATAATACTGGTAACAGAAAGCGTTGGTCAAAGCATTGCTAATTTTTCTTCTTTTGACATGAAGAACAAGGTATCGTAAAAACTAATGATGCTTCTTTGGAGTCCTACAGGCAGATGTTTAAATGCTTCTTACCCTTACAGCACCTGCACACGGTAAGCATGCATGTATATATGGATGAGGTGCTGCGAGATATTGTTTAGTAGCTTAGGGTAGTAATGGTGATAGGAGGACAGTTGGACTAGATGATCTTGTAGGGCCTTTCCAACCTTGTGATTCTATGATTCTATGAATAGGAGTCATAGCATAACTGAGCTGTTACAAGAACTAACAGAAAAGCAGAGATATCTAAGAGTGTAGTTACCTGTCTTTTCTAAATACTGTTGTCCAAAGGAATAGCCATGGGGAAGGATCTCCACCTACCATTTATAATATTTTTAACAGCTGCCGGTGTAAAATGTGGTATTTCTAGAAATAAATCATAAAATAACCATAAATAACCTGGCTGTTAAAAGGGAATAGCAGGAGACTATACTCTCTGGGAAGCCCAGTTCTAGTACTGTCACCCCAGAAGTAGTTCTTTCTCATATTCACATGGAAATTCCTTTGTTCTACTGTGTGCTTGCTGCCCCTTGTCCCATTGCTGGACACCAGCAAAAAGAGCCTGGCTCCATCCTCTTGACATCTGCTTTTTAGGGATTTACATGCATTGGTAAGATCCCCTTTCAGTCTTCTTTCTCTAGGCTGTGAATAGTCCCAGCTCTCAAACTTTTCTAACAAGGGAGGTGCTCTAAGCCTCTCATCATCTTTGCAGTCCTCCGCTGGACTCTCTCCCAGAAGTTCCCTGTCTTTCTTGAACTGAGGAGCCTGGATCTGGACACAGTACTCCAGATGTGGCTTCACCTGGGCAGAGTAGAGGGAGAGAAGAACCTCTCTCAGCCTGTTGGCCACACTCTTTTTAATGTATCCCACGATACCACTGACCACCTGGGCCACACGGCACACTATGGCACATGGCCAACCTGTTGTCTACCAGAAAAAGTAAGTCCTTTTCGGTAGAGCTCCTTTCCAGCAGCTTAGCCTCTAACCTGTACTGATGCATACGGTTATTTCTCCTCAAGTGTAGGACTCTACACTTCCCCTGGTTGAACCCTTCAGGTTCCCCTCTGCCCAACTCCAGCCTCTTGAGGTATTACTGAATGGCAGCACAGCCTTCTGATGTCAGTCATTCCTCCCACTGTCATATCATTAGTAACCATTCTGAGGGTGCACTCTATCCCTTCATCCAGGTCATTAATGAAGGTGTTGAACATGACCTGGGGAGCACCACCAGTTACAGGCCTCCAACTAGACTCCGCGCTGCTGATAACAACTCTCTGAGCTCTGCCAGTCTGCTGGTTCTCAGTTTACCTCACTGTCCAATCTTCTATCCCACAGTTCCTAAGCTTAACTATGGGAATGCTATGTGAAGCAGAGTCAAAAGCCTTGCTGAAGTCAAGGGAGACAATATCCTCTGCTCTCCCCTCATTTACCCACTCAGTCATGTCATCGTCAAAGGCTACCAGGTTGGTCAAACTTGATTTCCCCTCGGTGAATCCATGTTGACTACTCCTGATAAAAGAGATAGAATAGATAGATGGCTTCTCCTGCCAGAAGAGATGCTCCAGTCCCTTCATCATCTCGGTGGCTCTATGCTGGACTCTCTCCAGTATGTCCATGTCTCTTTTGTTCAGGGGAGCCCAGCACTGGGCACAACTCTCCACATAAGCCTTCAGTGGTGCTGAGTAGAGAGGAGTGATCACTTCCCACAAGCTGATGGCGGCTCTTCCTAATACGGTGAAATGCTGCATTTGTGTAATTCCTGCTGGAAGCAGACATTGTGTGATCTGAACATCAGTGAGCCAAACAAACATCTCACTACTGCATCTTAAAAGCAGGAGCTCAAGTCTCATCCCTGGCTGCCTTGCTTTTTTTTTTTTCCAACCAATTCATTTAACAGGAATCACAATCTTAGGGACTCCTTATTCTATATGGTGTGCTTCCTCTTTCTTTAGCCATTCTGGAAAAGTTCTGTCATCTTTGTCAGGTTTGTGGCCACCCTACCAGCTGGGTTTCTTCAGACATGTTTGCTATCCTATAGGGATCTGTAATTAATAGGAGGTAGCTCAACAGCTGCCACAACCTCTGATTTCCTTTCTCTTCATGCTTGATGAGGATTATTATGGGCTTTTCTGTTCTTGAAAGTGCCATTCTGTTGCAATCTGAACACAAGTAGAACAGAAGAAGTCAAAAAGCATACAAAAAAACTAAACATGTCATGTTAGCTCCTGACAGCTCATGGAAAAATGTCTGAATAACTGAAGGATTACTAAAATATTTAAAAATGAAGATGGAAGAGGAAAAATGAACTACAGGCACATCATGCAAAAAGTATTCTTTGAGGTAATGTATCAGCTTAATAAGAATTGTCTGAACACTACAAAGATTTTAAATTTTATGCTTCTTCATTTAAAAAATATCCACATATATACAATATTTAAAAGCCTATGCTAACACTTTTGTGGTGTGTATGCCACAAAGTACTTCCAAAAGTATCATTTACATCTCTCTTTCAGCTTATAAAAATGCTAACATTGCAGCACTTGCAATCCAAATGTAATTTCTATCGCTGTAATGGGGACCCTTCAGTTCTGTATATTATCTTGATGTTCTCCATTCTTTAATACCAGTCCAGAAAGGATCAGATGATTCTTCTCATCTCACGTGTGTTCTTAATGGTGGATTTTTAGAGGGATCTGTAAATACGTAGGACAGGTTAATTCAGAGGAGATAGATAGATATTTTGGGAATACATTTTGGATGTAGTTCTACAGCAGTTTAAACAACCTATGTTGTGTTTATCATCTGTTGTTAAACAGATACATATTGCTCTGTAGGCCTTCCGATGCAAAAAGTGTTATATACAGATGATGATTTAGACAGACTTAATTTCTATTTGCTCCACAAATGCATAAGTCTGGAGAACACAAACTGCATGTCTACCCACATAATTTTATTTTTTTTGCTACTAAGTCTTTACCGTAATTAAATGCTTTTCATTATATCTTTGGTCTCTATTACCACTGTAACAAATCTCAGTCCTATCTGTTCTATGCTTACAGTCCAGCTTTTCACAGTACAGCTGGTTTCTGTTCATTATTTTCTCTCACCCTATTTAATGCTCTTGGATAACTATATGACATTCCCATGTTTACACACTTACCTCTAGGTATCTTGCTGGGATATATTTTCTGAAATGGCTTGAATTCATCAGGTGGGGGGAAATCCTCCACAGAATGGAAAGTAAATTTAGATTCAAAGTCATCTAGGAAGTTTCAGGGAAACAAACATTAGTTACTGTTAGAGATTTAAATAAATAAATAAATAAAAATTGCCACTATTGATTTCAAATGCAGACTGGTTTTCCCTGGAATAGATAGTGGCTTACTCCAAATAAGAAGTCTTGAGCCAGTTTGTGAGCCATACAAATTTTTTAGCTTAATTGCAAACACTGCTAGAAACTGAAGTTAAGCTTCTGGCTGCCTTTGCAGTTTTCTGCACTGATGATGTGGTGGTAACAGATGTATTCCTCCGTGGTTTTCAAGCAATTTAGCAAGAATGAATGGCCAATTCATCAGACCACAAAAGTAGCGTTTAGCAGGCTTTGCTGCATAGGATTAAAGCTACAAAATGTCTGTGAACTGTTTCAAAGAAAAATAATGTAAGCACAGTAGCAAATTCTCAAAATCTCAAATAATTTTGCAGGTAGTTCCTGAGTTTGTCTATTGAATTGTTCAAAACCTTCGTGGAAAAAAAAAACACCTTCATTTTCTCTCGGCAAAAAAAAAATCTATTAGTCTAGTTGTACTACTATACTGTTATGAGAAAGACATGAATGAGTTTCTAAAGTCTGAGAAGCAAAGGCTTTTGTACTAAAGTCTTCAACTAAAGCTAATTTAGATGACGTTACCAATAATATGCATATTTCCATTTTTGAGTGGTGGGTAGGGGTCATGAACTGTTGCCCAGGCTGAGACTCCAGACTTGCTTGTGAGTTCAGTTGTTGGTGACCTGGCAGGTGGCTGTGGAGGAATGGCAAGCTTCCCAGCACCAGCTCCTGAAAAAGAGGAAGCAGACCAGCATATAAAAGATCATCACGAATTAATGACACTGACAGTAAGCTCTGCACAGAACTGGAGGGAGTTATAAAAAAGAGTGCAATATCTGGGACAAACATATCCAGCTGTTGTAGGTGACTACATACATCTTCTGGACACACTGTGTAAGAGAAAGGGATCCTGAGGCCTCCAAGTTAGCCACTAGATAACCAAAATGGAAACCTCAGAAGTTGAATGATCACAAGAAAAGCATCTCTATAAAATAATGGTTCATCACACAATTCCCAAGCAGCATTAATCACTGTCACAAAGCAGCTGATCTACTGTACTCAGAGCCTTCCCATGGCTGTCAGAGAGAACCAGTAAGCTTTCTCTTGACGTCTGGCTGCTGAGATACAGAGTACAGAACATTTTCTTCAAATGTTCCATATTAAATAGCTGTCTCCATTTCACAAGTCCACACAGATCTAAACTCATTTTTTAATTATCCTCATTATATCATGTCTGAAAAAAGTTCCTCCTATCATCTGCTCAGGGAAACATTAGCCAGTATCTCCACTACCCAAGTACTCAGAGGAGCCTCACGCTCTACTTACCTTTGCTGAAAAGCAGGGGATTGCATCCATATTTACCTTTACACATCTATGGCTGCAGCTATACTGTATTTATTCTATTCTCTCCTGTAAACTTCCCAATATAGCTCCAGTCTGCACAATTACATCAGAAGAGGGATGTTAAAAGCAGTCTGGAATTTGAGTAACTGCAAATCAGACAGATGTTACTGTCAGAAGAGCCTGAGGTCTGGCATGCTCATTACACACTATGCTAATTACATTCCTCCCACATTATGGACTTCATCCTGCTGCTACGTATACTGTACCTGCACCCCTGCGAGCTCTTCAGCCGTCAGTGCCACTTCCCTGCTGACCAAAAGAGGTAGAAAACTTTATTTCAAACAAATGCTGCTCTCACCTGGGCCTCGGCCTGGTCTCTTCTTCCTGGTCTCCACCACTGCTGCTGGCTGAGGAAGGGGTGGGGTGGGAGGGAGAGGGAGCGACTGAATATTACTGGGTTTATGCAGATGGGACAGCAAGTGGGGAGACTTGGGGGGCAGTGGTGGGGGCACATCACCACCACTCCCAGCACTGCTGATGGCTGGGGAGGGTGGGAGGGAGAGCCTGCTGGAGGCTGGGGGAAATGCGGGGAGTGGAGGAGGAGGGAGTGGAGGAGGAGCTGGCGGCGGTGGTGTGGGAGGTGGATAATCCCTCGCTTCTGATGGGGAGGAAGCAGCAGTGGAGAAATCGGTCGTCCTGGCTGGAAATCCACAGGGGGGTAAGGGAGGAGGAGGAGGAGGCAGTTGCGAAGCACCTACTGGTAACTTTGTGGGCTTGTCAGCCTGGGGAGGGAGCGGGGGCAGAGGAACAGAGTTGGGGGATCCCCCCTTGGTAGGCCTTTCTGCCGGAGGGGGAAGAGGCGGAGGAGGAGGGAAGGTGAGGGAAGGTTTGCTGGCAGCCGGAGGTGGCGGAGGAGGCGCAGGAAGGCTGGGCCGTGCGGTGCCAGCCCGGGAGGTGCTGGGAGGCTCCGGCGGGACGGCTGGCCCGGGGCTGTCGGATGGGTTTGAGGGGCTACTGCCTGCCTTTGCAGCACTGTTCGGTGGGGCTGCGGCCTTGGGAGCCACTGCCCGGACTCCAGGAAGCTGCCCAGGCCTCCCTCCTGAAAAAAAGATCACACCTTACATACTGGTATTTTGTTCCATCTCATCAGACAAAACAGCACAAAAAACACTATTCATCTTCCCTCCTAAGTGGTCACTCAGAGTGATTAAATGAGTCCACTCAAAACGCCTCATATCCAGCAAGTCTCCCCATGGTGCAGAGGACCTGGGAGCTGATGTGTTTTACAAGACACTACAGACTCTGCTTAGATAAATGCTGACCTACTGAGAGGCCCTGCTCCCCTCTCTGTTCCTCAGCTTCTGCAACACAAAGCACTTGAAGGAGAAGGTGTTTTTCTGTGCTAGCAGGTGTCCTACATAGTGACACATCTGCCTGGTGCAGCCAGCTGGATGTGAATGGTCCATAAGTTTGGGGGCATTGAGGGTTGGAGTGAAAGGCCCCAGAGAACAGAAGCAGATTGATGCACATCCACCTGCATCCTTAAGTACTTGCTTATGATTAAAAAATTCACACCAATGTTACCTAAATCTCAATCCTGTGGATTTTTAAAAGTGGTGCCTCAAAGGCTTTCCAGAAGATGCAGGTTCAAATGTTTTCTTTTCAACAGCAAATGCCCAAAGACACTTGACCTTACATGATTTGCCTAAGTACATGTCCAAATTTTTCTGAAACAAGATGTCCAAAAGGTATCTCATTCTGCATTCTGAGAAGTCTGGTCCTAGTTTAAGAACAACTCAAAGCAGCTACTGCAGCTTTGTGAGAAAGCCCTGTCATAACCTGTGCTGAGTATCTTGAGCTTGTCTTCCAGAAAAAAAAAAACAGAACAGCTGCAGGTAGAGTCAATTGCTGTCTTTCCTTGCAAATGCCTGCTGCTGTGTCCTGCCCATGCAGGCACCAGCTGCCCAGCAGCACCAGAGGTCACTGCAGCCATTCTAAAGGGCTGAAAAGAGACAAAAGCAGCAATAGGGCTCCCACTCATCCCTTGTTCCTGTCCTTGTGACGCATCAGTAACTTTCTTTTTCAGGTCAGTAAATTACCTTGCCGGATCAGAACTGTCCTTTATAAAACCCAGATGACATAAGTCTTAAAAATTAAATTCTAAAGTAACATACAAACCTGTGACATCATAGAAATACACAGTAATGGAGAGAAGGAGGTATGACTTTTTTTTTTTGCCATTTATGCTGAAGGTGATAAACAGAGTATGGAAATCTGAGGTTATCTGAGGCAGTTATGAGTTTACATTAAGCTAATGTAAAAATATACCCATGTAAAATTCTGCAGTCTACTGAATCTATTTCTTATCCATTGTACTATCCATTACAGTTCCCCCCAGCTGCTCTTCTGTGCAAATGAAGTCCTCACCTGGCATGTCTCTCTGGCCTGCTGGTCTGAGAACGGGAAAGCCGCCAGCAAATAAGCCTCCCAGGGGCTGCTGAGAGCCACCCTTATTAATGGCTGGGCTAACTCCATCTCTGTTACTTCCTTTGGGTTCTGTTATAGGAAGAAAAGAAAAAGCATGACAGAAAGCCATTTCATCAATGCTTTCAGGCTGCTAAGACTGAGCAGCAATAAACACAGTCAAGACCAGACTTCTTCCTCATTCAATTGGCTCAGTAAGGACAGTTACCATTAATACAGTAATGACCATTCTTCTGACCGGTATCTTGAAGCACTGCGCCCTCTGGTGCTTTTTAATCCAACGTCAATGATGGCACCAGCAAAAAGTTGTTTTTAACTACATACAAAGATCTTCAGATCACAGATATGTATGTAATCCTTGTTGGAGATTCTCCAACAGACCTGTCAGGAGTGACTTAGGGTTTGGCTGATCGAGCACATGAAGATCTTCATAACCTTACTTTTGTGTCTTGCCTCTTCCCCACACCATTCCCAAGATACTTTCTTCTAGCACTTTCACATTAAGATAGACAAGAAACTAATAATAAATGAAACAACTAAACAACAACAGGGTTCCGCCATTAGCAAGTTGCCTGGGAAAGGGTTCAGGTGAGAACAAACACTAAAATGAAAAGGCTCTGGCAACTGCTGTAACTTGTTAACAGTCTTTTCTCTGATTCCAAATGATGATCAGGCATGTTTTCAGCTAAAAGAGGTTAAGAAGTAAGCATTCCTGTTCCAAAGGAATTAAGTTTATACATCCAGATTTTTAAAATTTATTTATTTTTGCATCTTTTGTTCTTTTTATCTAGTAAAGAACAGCTCTTCTGCTGGAGGCAGTAATTCCTGTTTAAACAATCATTTTAAAAAGAAACTCTCATGGGTTTCAGCATTCCTGACTTCATTGTTTTTTTTTTTCTGGAATGAGGAATGCCTGTTAAGGTGACACCCAGATTCAGCCTTATTATGAAGTATTAATAGCTGTTGATCTCAGGACAAGATGTACCTTTAGAAAATTGAGCCCTCCCCTTTCACATCCTAAAGATGTTGTCCATAGATGAACTCCAAACCCACACAAATCCTGCCCATCTGACCTCCACAAATGGGGCTTCTGCAGAGCCCACCCAAGGCCCTCCTGCAGGTACTTACTTTCAATCTGTGGTGCACTTCTGTCATTGATTTGAGTCACTTTTCTTAAGCGAGTTCCCTGCTGGAT